AGTTGTTGTTGTTGTTTGTATCCCAGCCTTGATCAGTAGCATTACCGGAGTTGTTGTTGTTGTTGTTTGTATCCCAGCTTTGATCAGTAGTATTATTGGAGTTGTTGTTATTTGTATCCCAATTTTGACCACTGCTGTTATTATTGTTGTTGTCGTTGTTCCAATCCTGATTATCGTTGGCATTACTAGTCCCTTGATCGGCCGACTCTATTTGATCCTGGTCAGGTTTGTTGGTGTTTTTGTCAGTCTCGCTTTTGTTTTGGGTATTCCAGTCGGGCCAGGTATTATTGGTAGCATTATTGTTCGAGTCTTTTGTGGTAGGTTCTGAAAATTCCGCTTTTGTATTGGTTACTGTAGCCGTGGAAGCAGCCTTTTGTTTGCTAGTGTCATTGCTTGCACTAGTACCAGTAGAGGTCGTGGTAATCTGAGTATTTTGAGGAATAGGCTGATTTGGCACTTGAAACCATGGAGCAGTATTGAGTGGTAAGTATGGGAAGAATTGAGCTGGTCCTGGTACTGCAGGTTGGAATGCTTGATGAGGTGGACCAATCCAAGTAGGCATCGGAAGTGGATGTTGACTTGGGAAAGGTTGAATTCCGGTGTATGGTAAAGGTGCAGGACCTGGTGGATGTGGTGGAACTTGAGGAGGAACAGAACCCATTCGAGCGTGAGTTGGTAGAGTTGTGCCACGCTCTGAGAGACCTGGTATTCTTGAGGAACTAGCTAGTGGAACCCTAAGAGCACCATGTCCCATTGGAGGTTCAGGATAGTCGCGATAATCTCGAGGCTCAGCAGGCCTATGAACATACTGATGCTCGGCATGACGGGATGGATAGTCTCCATAGGGTTGATGTCCAACATAATGTTGAGGTGGGTAATAATCATCATGGAATCGAGGCATAGGTTGGGACTGATATCGACCATTGTGTACAGAACCCTCTCTGGGACTACCATAATCGAAGTGAACCCGTCGTTCAGGCCGAGGCGGTAGATGATCGTGTGGGTCACGTTCACCACGCGGTGGCGGTTGAGGTGGGTCCTGTGTAGGTCGACGGTAGTGAAATGTGCCACCAGGAACATGTTCTTGTTGATATGGTCGTGGAGGATAGCGTGGACCTTGTTGTGGCGGATACGGTCTAGGACCAGGTCTGTAACCAAAATCCCAATGGTGATAATTGTCAGCTGGGCCGTCAACTTGTAAGAAGTGAGAAGACGATGGTCGATCTGAAGGTCCGTCAAAGATGCCCCAAAAAGGAAGAGTCTCAAGATCTGGTTCAGCCACAACCTCTGCCGATTGTTCAGTGGGTATTTCCGCATTGTCATCGTCTTGCTGCTCCAGAATGACACTGTCTTCTTTCGAAGAGTCACTCAATGAGTCGAACTCAGCAGGATCATTGGAACTGCATCGCAAGACAAAGACTTCAATCGTACCAAGTTCCTCGAAATGACTCTCACTTGCTCCTGGAGGGAGTTGTTGTACGACATTGTAGTCATCAAAGCGCCATTCTCTCCCCATGTATGATCCGTCTCCTAGACGTGTTTCTTTCTGTCGAACAATGAAATCGATCTTGGATCTAGATTCCGGTAGGTTCTTCTCGGGTGATTGTAGATTGACTCGAACCCGGTTGCATTGATATTTTCCATCTATAAAGACAAGCATGGCTAGGCCTTCATGAATGAATTTACGCGAGGTGAGTCTGATGCTGAAAGGTTGAGGATGATTTGGGATTGCGATGAAGGTTTCAACGAAGCCATCACCATATTGAGTGCCATATTCTGGGAAAGGAGCACCAGTCTCCCCCCACAGAACATTGCATACGAGATTTTTCAACGTCGGCATGGCATCGATGATGACTGATCACTCTTCAGATCTCAAGTCATGGTTCTTTTGATGGAAGGAAAAAGTCAAGAGATGAAAGAGATGAATGGAAAGTGAGAAAAGTGTGTTAGCCCGCGGGATCAAGGAGTTCATTTTGGATATGAGGACACGACCAAGCTCGCCGAGACGAGCGCAAGGGCAGAACACTTTGTCAGGATGTGCTCTGGACGATGATGTCTTTGCGATTGTTTGCTTAGTCGTACAGTCTGTGAGTTAGGCAGCTTGTTGTCGCGGGAGGAGAAGTAACATCATCGATATCAACAGACCTACTCCTAGATTTTTTCGACATGTCATGATCATTCCAAAGACAAATAACCACCACCACTGTCTTCGTCAGTCACGGGATGTTGCAACAAAGATCAAAGATCGGGCAGGAAAGGGGATCGATAAAGGTCTGAAGATGGAGGCACTTTCTCCTGATAGAGAAATGCTTTGTGCAATGACACAAGTCCTGTGATATTGTCATCATTTCTTCGATTAAAAGAAAATGTTCGAGTGCTTCTTCTGTCCACGCTGGGTCGAATATACTGAGTATAAGTGATATTATCAGGTGTTCAGGTAAAGTCTCCCTTTTTACAGTACTGTCCAGATTTGTAATAGCGTCGGATTTAGAGCAGATTAAGGCCGTTCCCTGCATACGAGCATTCCTTGTCAGAACAAGGGACAAGTGAGTAATAACGTCCAGCTGGTAATAGCCCTTGTGTGACCTAAAAGCAAAGGAAAAGGTGAGTCAGAGTTTCATCTACCTCGAGCTTGTGGCTATATAGCTCGAATAGACTATTCGGCTCGAAACTTTCTCCTATACAGATACCAGCCTGGCCGTGAAGATGGTGAAGCTTGCACAGATCAAGGACCATAACAGTCGTTTCGAAGGTGAGCAACATGAGGGAAACATATGTGTATTCGTTGGCGCCACGAGAGGAATCGGCGCAGGCACTCTCGCGAGAATGGCGACCATGATACAACAGTCGACATTTTACATTTTAGGACGTTCACCTAAGCAAGCAGAAGAACAACTCGAAGCATTGGGAACCTCCAATGAAAGCAACAAGTTCATATTCATTGAAGCAGATGTCACCTTGCTCTCCGATGTCGACGCCGCATGCAAACAGATCGCGGAGGCAGAGCAGAAATTAGACTATTTGTGTATGAGTGCAGGCCTTGTCCCCTTGAACGGAGCTGAATGTATGTTGCTTCCTACAGACGTCGATGGTCAATATCAAATGCTTACCTGTTTCCACAGACACGAAAGAAGGCCTCGAAATCGCCTTTGCCCTTTCATACTACTCCAGAATGCGAATGGTTTCCAACTTGCTACCTCTCCTTCGTCAATCTCCTCGTCCACGAATTCTGAGTGTACTCAATGGTGGCAGAGAACAAAGGATCGATACTGAAGACCTTGGTCTTGAGCGGGGCTGGGCTGTTAGAGCGATGATAAACCACACGACAACCATGACAAGCCTCGCCTTTGATCATCTTGCATCAGTCAACGAGAATGTGGCATTCTTGCATGCGTTTCCCGGACTGGTACAGACAAACATATTCTCCCAATTAACCGCGCCCGAGTCTTCCGGTATCGCATGGAGAGTTGGGTTGGCAGCAATTCGTACGCTTACGGCCGTTGCATTTTTCCTCATGGGAATTAGTACCGAGGACAGTGGCGAAAGACATGCTTTCCATCTGACGAGCGATACCTTTGGACCAGGAGCACATCGTATCGATGAGACAAGCAATGAAGTGGTTGTGCCAGGGGTCCTTGAAGAATATAGGAAAGAAGGTTGGCCAAAGAAGGTCTGGGAATATACCCTGGCGGTGTTCGACAAAGTGACTACAATCAAGGCCACCTCGAGTCGTCCATAGCAAACATGCAATACTCCATCAGAATGCAGAATCTTTATTCAGAACAGGTAGAAGGGGTAAAAGGAAAGGGGAAAGGGGAAAAGGATGGAGACTTCTATTTGTGAATAACAGTAAAGTGGCATGTGTGGCCAATAGGGGCCAGTGAGGCTACCGTAGTCCCATTTCCCATCTATCTCTCAATCCCGCGTCTAGATCACAGCCCGTATGTTTCCTTCCCACCTGTCAAAGAAATTCACAAACATCAAATTGCGCCCTCGACTTCTTCTCTTGTGAATTTCTCTCCTTGCTCACACTATCGATATTCGCCTGTCATGAGCGCCACAAAGGCCCAGTCTCAAAAGATCTTTGAGAAGTTAAAAGCGAAACCTGCGAACAAGGTAGCCTCAACACAAATTGGTCCCCCCCAATGCACATGCCGAATGAGAAGCCTAATGTGTCCCCTTTTTTCCACTTAGATATGTTTTGATTGTGGCCAAAAGAATCCGACTTGGTCGTCCGTTCCTTTCGGTGTCTACCTATGCCTCGATTGCTCCTCGAATCACCGAAACCTAGGTGTACACATTTCCTTTGTCAGGTCGACGAACTTGGACGGTGCGTTGCATGAAAGAAATATCAGAATCGGGACGAGAGATTGACAAATATATCAGTATGGCAATGGGCTCAATTACGGACTATGAAGGTTGGAGGCAATGAGTCTGCCACGAAATTCTTCCAGTCCAACGGTGGCAGCGCAGCCCTCGCCAGCAAGGATGCCAAAGTCAAATACACTTCCAACGCGGCGAACAAGTACAAAGAGGAACTGAAGCGTAGAGCAGCGAGAGATGCCGAAGAGTGAGCGAAATATCCGTCAACTTTGGCATGTTTCCTAGGCTAATCAAATGTGTCTACCACAGATATCCTGATGAAGTGGTCATCACCGACGAGACCCTTTCGACTCCCGCCGATGGATCATCTGCGACGCCCGCAGGCGAACCAGGCGACGACTTCTTTTCTTCCTGGGACAAACCCAGCATCAAGAGGCCTAGTAATCCTCCTTCACGAAGTGGCACTCCACCCGTCGTTTCCCGTACGGCCTCGCCTTTCCTCTCCGCGGGCGGTGCAAACGGCTCTGCGGCACGACCCAAATCACCTTTGATCGGCGCCGGCGGCAACGACTCGGAGACTGCCCTCCCGGCTCCGACGGCCATCCGCACGACATCCTCATCTGCGATCCGGAAAGGACCAACCGGCGGTGCCGGAGCGAAACGGACGAACGTGTTGGGTGCTAAAAAGACGCAAAAGTTGGGCGCGAAGAAGGTCGTCGGTGAAGAAATCGACTTTGAGGCCGCCGAAAAGGCGGCAAAGGCCGAAGCGGAGAGAATAGAGAAGCTTGGATACGATCCTGAAGCCGAAAAGGCGGAAGATTTGGCCAGAAACAAGTCTTCCTCTTTCGGCGCCGCAACCAAGGAAACAAACTCAACATCTTCTGCCACCTCACAGGCAGGCCCAGCGTCTAGTGCCGCTCATACACGCAGTCCCAGCGAGGTCGAGCGACTGGGCATGGGAATGGGTAGACTTGGTTTCGGGCAGATTGGGTCGAAAGGTGGTGCCGGTGCTGCCTCTTCTACAGCACCAGCACCGAAGAAACTCGGCTTTGGCAGTGTCGGTGCCAGCAAAGCACCTGTCGAAGGTGAATTTTTTCCCCCCGTTGCTTCCCTCTCATCTCTCTGTCCGATGCTTGTCGTCCGATACTGACAAACCACTTTTTCATAAAGACGAATCAGAACAGTACGCGCGCCAGAAATTCGGGACCCAAAAGGGCATATCGTCCGACGAGTTTTTCGGCCGCGGTGCGTTCGACTCCAACGTCCAGGCCGAGGCCAAGACGCGCCTTCAAGGGTTCGAGGGCGCGACGAGCATCTCGTCCAACGCCTACTTTGGGCGCCCCGAGGACGACGTGACCGGCCTCGAGAACGGCGAGTACGGCGACCTCGAAACCGCGGCCAAGGACTTTGTTCGCAAACTCGGTCTCACGGCCGGCGACGACCTCGAGAACCTGATCAACGTGGCCGGCGAGGGTGGGAGGAAATTGAGGGGTGCCGTGGCGAGGTATTTGAACAGTTAGATTGGGACACACTCATCATCTCGGATTTCACATTACATACCCACCTAGGTGGTGTTGTTGTTGTCGTTGTTCAGAGAAGAGTCTCACATGACGAACGAGAAAAAAACCTGTCAAACAGGTATCGGTACGGGTTCGAGGGATTAGCTAGGGAAGCGAGGGTTGGCAAGAATTTTCTTCTTCTTTTTCCTGCGACAATGAAAACGAGTTTTTGTTGAATATTAGAGCTCACGCAAAATGATGTCTACTCTGTATCCGTACCAGTTGCATTAAATACCTAGGTATGCAGTACTTCTATTCAAGTGAAACGAGTACACACTCCTCCCAGCCCAAACCACGAACCATTACACCCTGGAAAACTTACATTTTGGGAGTTGACACGGTGCACAATCAAAAACACAAATACTAGACAAATACGCATACAAGAAAACTCAATCATACTAATCATGTTTCTGATCAATTATTTGACTACCAAAACGCAAAGTCTATTGCATAAGGAAAAGCATCCCCCCAAAAACTACCTTCCTAGGTATGTTTCAGGCCAATGTTGATAAACGCCTCCTTGTTAAGTCACTCCCTGCAACCTTGTCGATTTCTTCTGTTCAGACCAAAAAAAGAGAGACAACACGTATGTATTTTCGTCCGCCCCCCTCATTTCAAAAGAGGCTCATCTGGTTTTCCATGTAGAAACGAATTTCTTGTACAAAAAGTGCTATGCCAGTCTACAACAGTGTAGCACCGAAGAGAGATGACATGACCAAAACAGCACCGCAGACCATAGGAGCGAAAGACCATTCTGGAACCGCCATGGCGATGGCACCGTTGGTTGAAGATGAGGTGGACGAGCCACCACTGGAGGAACCCGTTTGGCTAGCTTGTCCGCTACCAGCAGTGGCGGTTCCGGTAGAGGCACCACCAGCATTCTGAGAGCCAGCACCCGAAAGACCTGGACCTTTACCAGCACCAGAGGTCATGAACTTCTTAGCACCCTCGGGGATAGCTGGAAGGGCGTCGGTCTTGACAAGCCAGTTGGGGTTGTTGTAGGCCGGGCATCCAGAGGCACCACCAGTCGAGTTGTAACCACCATCGCCTTGTGGGTTAGGGGTCTTGGAGAATTGAGACTGAAGTGCCGAGAAGTCGGGAAGTTCAGAAACCGAATTGCCATTGATCTCCACAAGACCATAGTTAGAGGGCTCCTGAGAGTATTCGTAGACAAGACCGCCGGAGTAAACACCAGTCATTTGAGTGCTGTAGAGGGACTCGACTTCCTGGAACTCACGGGTGTTGGTGTTGCAGCCATACTCGGACAGGAAAAGAGGAAGACCGTATCCAGTGAAGTTCTTGACCTTCTGATCCCAACCAGACTGAGTGAAAGACGAAGGGTCGCACCATGAGTAATCGTTGAAAGCAAAGAAATCAGATCGTTCGTCGGAAGTACCGCAGTTCATGTATTCAGCCATTTCCAAACGGTTCTCACTAACATCAGCGGCAGAGTACCCAACGGGGATTGTTCTGTAGCCTCGGTTGCGGATGTATTGTCTCATGTCACGAGTGACAGCCTTGACATAAGGAGCAGCGGCTGAAGACTCGGGGTCGTTGATAACTTCATTGCCAGAGAAGAAGGCCAAAACGTTGTCATACTTTTGGAAATCGTCAATGGTTGCAAAGATGCTTTGCAGGTACACGTCGTTATAGGAGGGGTTGGGATCCGCTCGGTTCAAAGAGTACTTGGGGGTATTGACGTCGAGTACAAGGTAGATGCCAGCATCTGCCAAAGCACTCATACACTCATCATGATTGGCTGTGTTGTCGACAGTGTAGACACGAATAGTGTTCAGACCCAGCTTCTTGAATTCCGCGATGTCTCGCTTGCAGCCATCCACGTCGGCGATAGGGTCGGCGACATTGGAGGAGCCACCAGGCTGGTAGTCGACGCCACGAATGTAGAAGCGATCATTGCCGGCAAAGAAAGCTGGGGGAACGTCAGTGTTATGCTGCGCGGGAGAGGGATGGGAAGCTGCGTACCATTGCCCTTGACCGTCACAGAGGTGATGGAGCTCGCTCGCTTCACGGTAGCCGCTGAAGCTACACCAGCACCCAAAGCGAGGGCGGCGATAGTGGAAGTACGCATGATGAGAGAGTTAACGGTAGTCCTTGCAGATAGAAGTCTCGTTTGGAGCTCAGTGTCTCGTCAAAAATGGTAGTAATGGTCGCCCGTTTGGCAGAGAAGACAAAATTAATCAAGGGTTAGGATCCAAGAGAGTGAGGATTCCCAACAGAAGGATAATTAAATGATAAATAGCGAGGGAGGAGCGACACCACAACAAGAAATGGTGACTGCTCTTTTTTGATGATATATATTGTCAAGTGAACGAGGGAAAGTCGAGGGCAGGAAAAGAAGGCAGGATGGGGAGGATGGCATTAAAAAAAGGGTGTTGGGAGTTTGCACTGCGTACGAGTCCAACACGGAGCCCCAAAGCACAAGCACGACATGGCGCGTCCATGGGAGGAAGCGATGGTCCCTGATGGACATTTTTTTTGGAGCCCGAATGAGGGATGTGTTGGTAGTTTCTCCTGGGATGGCGCAGCCACTTCCGCTTGTTGGTCCTATCAACGTTGCAGTTGACATGTCTTGAGTCTCTCCACAACACCTTGTTATGGGTCTTCACGATTGGGATAAGTTTCACCTACAGTACGGAGTACAACATCTCTTCGCGCAGCCGATCCCAGAGATGGACAGCCTGAACTACAGCATGTAGGTTGGTCGCATACGATCATTGCTCTACGCAGTAAAGAGCATCTACAACAATCTGCTCATCAGGGTTGTCCCCGGCGTCTATACAAGAAGATTCTCCCTTCGGACCATGTGCGAGTTTCGCCGCAAAACTTGTTTGTCGCATCGAATCTCGCTCCCGTGGAAAGCAAATCTCCAAGTCTCTGCACTGCCACAAAACCTCGTTTCAACCAGTCCCGCCATGACCACTCAAATCGGTGTCAAAGGCTGCCCACCTCAAGTCGGGGTGCAGTAACGTTTGCTTTCCAGCACTTCGCCCTTTCTGTCGAGTTGCTCACGTGAATCAGGCTTAATTTCGTTTCAGTACTCCGTACTCATAAGGCAGACTTGACATATCACAGGCATCTCAGGGTCAACTTTGGTCCACAAAGCAATCAAAAAAGACTTCATGGGAGTATATAACTATCCACAGTGACCGCGCAAACCTCGACGATCTCGTCTTGTTTTCTGTCTCTCAGTACGGAGTACAGATGCTATGACGAATGGATGCTCCAGATCTTGAGACGATCTTTGCTTCTGTGCTTCCATTTTCCTTACCTGATCCGTTAAATGGCCCGCCAGAAGCGTTTCATGGCTTTCAAAAAATGGATCGGATCTACTCACATCAGGAAACAAGAATATCAGGACAAGATACAGATATTTGGTCTCGAATGAGTCTCTTGTCATTTTCGAAACTATGGTCATGTCTCTGACACCAGACACTTTCCTCCCAACCACAGCTTTCTATCATCGGATCAAAAACCCTTTCATCCACAACATATGTGCCAAATTCAAACAATCCCCACAAGCATGCCGTCAGATTTGGGGAAACAAGTGGTGGAAAACGCCTATAGCTATGCCCGTCGCAGATTTGTGATAAAGGAGAGAAATGCTGAGCCGTGTCGTCGTTATGTGTGCTAAAAAGGAAAAAACACTGTCGCAATCATTGCCGCCAGAAGAGGAAGCCACCGGTAGGTCCAAGAATGGACTTATAACGCAAAGAACCAGCCCGCCACACCGAGCAAAGCCATCACGAAGCTTCCAGTCTTGTATTGTGAGGAGGCTGCGTTCTGAAGTCCAGGGCTTCCCGTGGTGGCAGCGGCACCTGCAGCCCCCGTGGCATCAGTCGCTCCAGTTACGGGTGCATTCACCACTACCACCGACGTCCTTGTTTCTACACTTCCGTCGGCGGCAGTAGTATAATACAGGTGGGTCGAGGTGCTAGGAGTAAAGCGAACTCCTACAGCGGAAGAGGTCAGAGTGACCATACCACCTCCGAAGGTGCTATAGACAACTCCACCATCCGAGGTGGCAACAGCGGTAGCAGAAGCTGGTGTGGATGGTGGTACGGTGATGGTGGTCGCTCCTGGGACGGTGGATGCTAGGATCTCGGAGGAGAGGATGGAGGATATGGAGGCAGCTTCTGAGCTCGACGATGAGGAAGTGCGGGTGGTGGTTGAATTGCTATCTTGTCTCTTCTTTGCCAGATGTACCAACTTGCTTGCAATGACGGGGTTTTCGGAATGAACGTGTTCGATAGCTGCTCGATCTTTACTGAAGACACCATCCTGGAACTTGGGAGATAGCTGGTGTAGTACCGAATGCAGGGCAGCAGGGTCGATGGTATCAAGTAGAGAATGGAATGCATCCCAATTTATTAATGACTTGTCATCGTCTGGAGTATGTGGTGAGGTCCAAGCACCAAGGACCAAGGTGCTGATAACAAAAGCCTTCCGTAGGCTGAACATTGTGGTTGTGATAGCTAAGCGAATGGCAGTGATATGTTCTCGACGTAGTAGTGAATGAGTGCTAGGAGGATCGAGTACGAGACGGAGGGATGGAAGAAAACGAGAGAGAGGTCGTCGGAGGTTTATTGGTGTGAGCTTCTGTTGTGTGTGTGTCTGTGTGCGTTGGTAAGAAAGATGGGGAGACAACAGCTCTTTTGTGTGGTGACGGTTGTATTCTTGTCTTTCCCAAGGCTTTCCACTGGTGGAGCGTAAATGAGGAGCTGTAATTTTTTTGGCTGCAACTGACGGGTCCAATTGACAATGATTACGAGGATGGTGCTGGGAAAAGAAAGTGTGAGCGGATATGCAAGTAAAGGATGAGTTACGGAGTAGTTCAATGTCAATGAAGCAGCATGTGGGAAAATGGTGTAACCTTTTTCTTTGCCGGACCGAATTGGTGGTGTATGAGGTCAATGGACGGGAAGAGATCCAAAAGGTCAATTGGAGCTCGGGGTCCGTTACACTTTATCACGGAATAATAATAACAGGGTGCGACCAAACATGGGAAAATCCAGGTGGCGAGGCGAGCCGAATGCTGGTTCACCGCGTGCCAACAAACCACCTGGGCCGCCTAGTGATGAGCCTTGGACCACCAAACCGTGTCTTGCCTCCCCCAAAACCAGCACCAAACAGGGGACTCAAAGGCCGAAACCCTGGTTAAAGATCCTCCCAGGCCGCACCGGCCCAAGCCCACTGGGGTTACTGTGCACCGCTAAAGGTGGTGTTATCGTGCTTGACCACGGAAACGTCGGCATTATCATCAGTCATATTCATACTATTTACTTGAAGCTTGAAGATCTTCTGGATGTCATTTTCGGAGAGAGATTTCACAGATTAAAGCACAGGTACAGTATGTGGCAGTCGTGTGATTCTTCTCAAACCAGTACCTAGTTATGAGTACCAGGTCTACCACCAAAAATCCCTCTCTCGAATCCAATCCATCCAACCTTGTCCCCGTCCCATTCCATCCCGTTACCTCGCATATGCTGGTTTCAAAAACGTACGATGGGCCACTGAGACATCCACCCCGCCAAGTATTTTTAACCCTGGACAGACGCCTCAAACCGAGCCAATAAAGACCAACTTTCCGGGCATGGCCTGCCATGTTTTGGAACCCTCTTGGCCTGGTTTTTTCTTTCGCCATTTCGTGATCCCTACTCTCTCCTCCGCCCTTCGGTTGGGACGCGATCTGTGAACGTCATACCAAGTACTTCCTCCTCCTTTTCTGGCTCCATCTGGTCGGATGGCTTGGAGGGGGTCAGTGAAACGTGGACCAGACGCGGTGATACATACCGTAACACAACTTTTCCTGTCGTGTCGGAATGACAACTTTGTTACTGTCTGAATAGAGGAGAATCGGAGGACGGATGGAAACTGACTGAACTAGTTCTAACTTCCACATTAGACTCGCCGGGCCGAAGAGTTTGTTAGAAAGACTCCCTATCAATCCAGTTCTGTTTGTACGGATAGGAGTAGTCTGGCCTCAGCTGGAACCAACTCCGTACGCACTCCGTATGGACGAAAGGTCCGGTGTGGCTTGACGAGGGCCCCTTCGAGATTCTCCATTTACTACCGTACAGCTGAACTGATACCTGCAGCAGCCAAAAAGGTAGGGGGGTCATCCTTCCGACACACCAAATACTCCATACCAAATGGTGCTGATCATGATTGGAAGAAGAAAATCTATTTCTGGCGACCTTGACTACCCTGACCTGAAAGCCATGCAGGTTGTAGATGTCCATGACTTGTTCTGGTTTCTCCGCTTGCGTTCTCACTGGCGTGCCTTGCATCGTGAACATCACTTGCCTTCTGTTTGTCTCGGACTCCGCACCTTTGCAGACCAATGGGTTGCCCAAAGCACCAACCAATACGTCGAGTTACAAAACCTCTTGTTCCCGCCTTTGCCGGGACAGTATGTATTATGTCAATCAGTTTCCCATTTCTTGCCTCTCGAGTCTCATGCGCGCCGGCGAAACTCTCCGGTGATGTACTCAGACTTGTCACTGGTGGTGTGACTTTTGCCACCACGGTAATACACACGGTTCTCGGTACGGGAAGTACGACTCTTACAGTACAATCGCATCCCAATTGAAAAAACATCAGGGGGACCACAGCCTCGTCTCTCGTCTCGCATCATCACTCATTCGGTCAACATGACAAATTTCAACAGATCCCTTTCACGGATTTGATCCTCTTTGGACATCAATTCCACCATGTCCCAAGTCGCACTGATCAATCGACCACTCAACCAGTCAACATTTTTGAGTTGTTTACTCAACCATACACAGACTGCACCGCACAGGTCTACATCATCCGTAAGGTCTGGAGAATTTGGTATGTCAGTAAGCAAACAAACAAAAGACAGGAACTGAGGCCAAGGCCCAAAAAAAGAAGGGGTGTGATAATCACACAACTCACATGGTAAGAACTCTTCTGGCGTGTTCCCCTCGGCCATCTTGGTCGCCACCGCCCCTGGGTGCAGCACCAGACTGACCAGTCCGTCTCGACCAAACTGTTCGTCCAGGTACTCGACCAGACGGATCTGAGCCATCTTGCTGACCGTGTACCCCGTGTTGGCGATCGGACCACGTCTGATACAACCGGCAAAAGACCCCACCGCGATGAACCCTTTTGGTGCTTTGTTTGGCGGCGGCGACGACGATGACTCCAGTAGTATCGGCACAAGGTGGTGAGCGGCGAGGTAAGTCCCCATGGCGTTGACCTCGAAGGCACGTCGTACCCATTCCGGTTCGCCCCGATCCATCCTGGTCGTCACCGGTCCGGCGTAACCGGCGTTGAACACGAGAACGTCGAGCCTCCGCCCGCACCGAGTCCTCACGTACTCTGCGAGGGCGGCGACGGACTCTGATTTGGACACGTCACACTCGACGACGTCGACTTGGACATCCCTATTCAGTTCCGAAATTTTTCGCGCCACCGTCTCGAGATCCCTCTCGGAGCGAGACGATATCACGATCCTGGACGCCCCGGCCCTGGCGTAAGCGTACGCGATGTGCTCTCCTATCCCTCGGCTGGCCCCCATGACGCAGACGGTGAATCCAACCGGGAGGACCACCTTGTCCGGGTTCAGGTCCGGTGGGACAGACTGGTGGATGGTCGTGGTGAAGTCGTTGAGTGCCGTCAATCGAACGTCTGCCATTGTTTTTTTTTGGTTGTATATGTACTCCGCATTTGTTGTATATCCCGGCTCCTTTGTTTTGTTTCAAATTTATACAACTTTTTTTTCTCCCTGTGGTACTGGTTTATCTACTTCGTAAACACATAAATAGCGAACATCATAATGTACTCCGTGGGTCAGGTAAGGGTCCTTACTGTAGTATCATGACGACGCCGGAAGAAATATTACTCCGCATCTTTTCCTCATCTAGCTCCTACCATACTGAAAGTAGAAGGTGGAATTTTTCATGGAACGTCCGGACCAAAACCCTAGAGAGAGTGTTGTGTTTTTTTCGTAAAGCAAAAAGGGCTTCAAAACCACTACTGCATACCAACTTATCCACCTGTACCGACATGAGAGAGAGACTGTCCAAGGTGAAATGACCTTAGTTTTTTGGTTAACAAAGAACTTTGGGGAAGATTTACAATAAAATACTAGAATTTGCAACACAAACAACCATTACAAGCAAATATCATTATCATTATCGTTATTCCAAGTTCTGACACCTCCATCCATGTAGGTAGCCGCTCAATTCTGAGATTTGAAAAGAGGGGTCGACGGTACACTGTACTGATGCCACCATTTGAAAACAAAACCGTGGTAGTCCTTATATTCAAACCTCCTCTTTATCATCATCTATGCTTATTTCTCATCCTCAGCCTTGGCCTTTCCCTTTCCCTTCCCCTTCCTCTTTCCCTTATCTGTGTCCTCATCCTCATCCTCAGCCTTTCCCTTTCCCTTTCCCTTTCCCTTATCTGTGTCCTTTCTCTGGTTCTCCTGATCGGCCGCGAGTAATCGAGGATCGATCCTATAGGAGGGCAATGTCAACATTCAGTGCCCACGGCACACAAGCCAGTACTTACGGAATATCAACATCACCATGAGGATCGTTGTTCGACCTCCTGGTGGTAGATGTGAGGGGTCGAGGCGATCGACTTGAGCGCTGACCTAACCCGGATGATGAAGTTTCGCCTCTTTCGAGGGTGGCATTTTTGGTGGTACGACGAAGTGTGCATGGTTGTCCTCTGCTGTGGCATCGTATGCACGCTGCACCCTCGGTCATCCATTCGCACTAATGGAACAAATTAGACTGGAAAGAACGCAACCCCCCAACAAAGACGCTGCAATGGTTCGAACCTTTGCCTTTTTGTCTTGACATCTCTCACAAGCCCGGTGGCGTTTCATTTTCCAATCTTTAAACGGATCTTTGGATTCTTGCTTCGACATCGTGGAGGCTGACCAAGGTTTCCCGTGGACGTGTCTATGCCTGTGTCGTTCCTCGTGTTTGTTAATGGGTCACCTACTGGACAGGGCGTTGCTGAGATGTCGACGATGGCGATGATACCCGAACTGAAAAGACAAGACCACTAGCACAAAAGATCACTTTTCACAACCAAACAGTGCCAATCGAGGCCCAGTACAAACAACAGAGTAAGCTCGTTGACAATTTCGAAGAAAAAGAAATCCTGATTCTGATCTCGACCGAGCAGCATTTATAGTTGAACATCGAGCCAAGAATCGATGGAAATACAGCACGATGGATGGTCATGATACAGCCACTCCCTCTTTTGGAAGTGTTCGTCCGCCGTGCATATGTCGTACGAACAGCAAGGCGTTGGGACATGCAAGGCAGAGAACAGAGGGTCATCGGAAAATGCACTTGCGATCGTACTCGACTCCTAAATTGGAGCTGCATGTTGGCGAGTCATGCTTACTGAAGGCTGTGTTTTTCGGACCACAGTTAGCTTGAGGCAATGGGGGGTTTTGATGAGAACAACGACCATGCAAGGTGGAATCAGGGCTGACCGTAGGTGAGGTCGAACCGGTGGTCCTAGATCGAGCAATATAGTCGAGATCTGAGCTTGACGGTACGGTCGGGAGGAGGCGGTGTCGAACCCAGTCGCGTAGTCTTGTGTGATTGCTCCTTCATCTGACCATCCATCCGGTCTTTCCATATCATGGATTAAAACGAGCCCTATGATGCTTGAATGAAGAACGAGCGCAAATCCATACAGCCTTGAGGTGCTCGAGGCTCACTTTCCTTGGACAACACAACGGTCCCATGTTCACCATGATTCGAATCGCAAAGGATCTTTTCTGGGGGCAGTGCAACCAGTGTCAATAGAGAAATTCAACAGCTCTGTAAGTGCGTGCCGACTAACAACTCGGGAGGCCGTCCCAGCTCATTCAACCACACACTCCAAAAGCGTCGGGATGACAAGACCCCGTCATGTGTTTGCCAGCCTGGGCAAAAAAAGACCGACCGGTAACCCGGCCTTGTTTGATCGGGCACACATTATGCTGCAGTTTTGAAAAGAGAAACGAGGCACAGTGGCTGTGGTGCTTCACCGCAAGATTGCCATGACACCGGTTTGGGGGGGGGGGGTTTGATGACCATGTTCGCTTATTGGGAGACTTCATGAGAGGTTTGTTGCTGCAACAAAGACACATTCTTTCAGATCATAGCTTGGACACGTCGACGTTGGAACATCCCTGTCTGTTAGTGCGTTGCCTTGTCGTGTTGTCACTTTGCCTTTTCAAGAGACACACACCATCTTAGCCTTGTCTGCAGGTTCTCGACGTTTGTCGGTCAAAGAATAGTTTGTTAGGCTTACTGCAATGGAAGTAGATCTTTTGAACTTTCCCGGCAACAGAAAAATGAACAACCTTAAGAGTAAGTGATAGCTGTTGAACCATGGGCTTAAACGTAGAGAGAAGAGTCATGTGTTGGTAGCCGTTGTACGAGGGATATCGCGCTTAACTGGAGATGGTTACTTGTCATTGCCAGGGCTAAATGTTGTTGTGGCAGGGGTACTGTAAATCCCGGCGTTTAGCCTTGGCAATGACGAGGAAGGCCTGGGCGACCATAAAAGGGTACTTCGTTGACGATTGGTATAAGCACACGTGGAGCAGTTCTCCAGGCCTTTAACCGGCAAACTTGACGCTTAGGCTAGTTTTAAGACCCTCTATCCGTATCTTTAGAGCCTTAAGGAGAAGCCAAGATGGAGCCTAAAATTTTAAGCATATCCATCCTCGTATCGCCTCGACATACCTACCTAGGTATCTAAGTTAAAGATCACGATGATGAATACGAACTACAGTATGCTAAAGCAACTGTACGCACCCCAAGACCATATGCAGAAGAGGGCTCGTTGAATTCAATATGTATTTTTATTTATTTCTTTTGAAGCTGAGAGCACTGCCACCATGGCCCAGCCAAACCAAATAGTTTCCATTCAGCCAAAAGCAAACCTCCAATTCTATGCCAAATGCATTCGTTCCATGTTCTCATACAGTACATTTTGGCAATGGAAGTCTGAAATCTTCATATCCTCTTTTTAAGAGAAAGTCCCCCAATGCTGATTCTTGCGGCAACGAAGAAAACTACACCGACGATACAGGTGCATCCACCAAAGAGCATCATGTACAAGAACTTGCCGTGGTCGCGGCTGATGAGAGCGCCGGCGATGGGGCTTCCAGTGAGAGCACCGATCGAGCCGGCAGCGAAGACGGTGCCCACGCGGACCCCGATCTCTCTGATGGGTGATATCTGAGCGATCAGGGCGGGCGTGAGACCGATGGCCGCGCCTGAGCTGAAGCCAAACATGAGCGCGAAGACGATCAGCGCGGCGTTGCTCGTGCCGGGGATCCAAAGGCCCAGCATGAAGATGACGGTGAGTGTACAAAAGACGATCATGACGTTGAACCGTCCGAGCTTGTCGCCGATGATGCCGGGGATCGTACGGCCGAAGATGGAACCGGCGTTGAGGATCGACACGAGGTACTCGGCGAGTTGTAGGGACATCCCACGTGCGTGTGCGACGATGGTGATGAATGTCATGACGCAGAACATTCCCCAGTAGAACATGAAGACCGCACCCGTCGTCCACACCATGGGAAATTCACCCAGAGGGCGGATGAAGGCCCTGATGTCGAATTTGCGACCCGAGGGTGGAATGCGCGAGCGGAGGGTCAAGATGGCGATGACGCAGTTGAAGAGAATGAGGAACGCGCAGGTCCGCATGGCCCAGCCGAAGCCGGTCTCTCGGATCATGTGCGACACGACAATGGGGAAAATGACACCTCCCAGTGAGGACCCCGCCGCCATGATCCCGATGGCCATGCCTCGTTTCTTGAAGAACCACGTCGACACACAACCCATGGCCGGGTTGAAGAGGAAACTGGCCCCGATGGCAGAGCAGACACCTTGACTGAGCATGAACTGGTAGTATTCTTTCGAGATGGAGGTCATCATGAGACCGAAGACGTGGAGGAAGCTGCCGACTATGAGAAGGTACCGAGGACCGTAGTTGTCGAAGATGTAACCGGCCAGAGGACCGCACGCGAGCATGAAGAACGTCTCGACCGAAGGGATCCATGCGACAGTACTCGCCGAATATTGGGACAGAGAGTTTTCCAGATAGTACGACGTGAATACTCCGACACAGTTGATCCATCTGCGAACGTTTTGTTAGTCAACAAGTACCACAAACCCAGGTCTACGCCAATTTGGTGGACTGTGACACTCACCCCCAAGAGTTGAACAAACAACAGAAACCTCCCAAGACAGTGAGCCAGGCTTCAGTGCCACCGTCAGGGAAGGATGAAGGGTCCGTCCATGGGTTGTACGGTGCTTTGGACTGTTCGACGGGAACATTTTGTTGTTCTGCCGCTGATTCTTCCGTGCTGCCATCTGGGGTCTGGAAACCAGGCTTTTCCTGCAAGTGAGGCTCCAGGCCTTCCTCGACGGAAACTTCCTTTTCTCCTTCCCGTGACATGTTGGAGGAGAGGTTACTCCTGCGTGCAAGGCTGTGTTGTTCGATGTTGTACGAGTAGGAGGGATCTGTTGATACCCAAGAAAATAGCTGGCTCTTCTGCCCTTCTATGCCGACTATTTTAGTAGTAACACAAACACGAAAAGGAATCAAAGGAGGAATGAAAATGATGAGACGACAAGAAAGTTATTTTCCCTGGGGTTGAAAAGATATAACAATGAAAAAGTCGGAACCAAAAGGACCCGAGTTTGTTGTTCGGTAAATAGCGTCGCTCGGCCTTATAAAAACGCGAGGCCACGCGCGGCACAGGTAATCAGTAAATCAACATGGGAGGACACTGGGGGTCGATCTGCCGTGGGATCTGTATATCTGGCAGTAGTCCGGCGTTGAGGCACTTGGCCCTCACAAGCCGTACATAAATTCTTGACCAAAAGCGCATTGCGACGGGGAAGCATCCCCGTTGATCGATGAAGCCAGAGTCAAAATTCACTTCTGTATGGCCGTATGGCCCACACTGGGCCCCTTTTCATCATGGAGGAGCACAGAGTCTGTCAGTGGGATGTACGAAGCATTCCAAAGCCACCAAATAAAGCCATTGACGATATCAAAGGGGATCTGAGTCTCCACCAGACTTCGCTTCGGTTTTGAGGTTCGCTCGAAACAATATTCTTATCTCCAGCAACATCCATATATCCTGGGTCATTCAGCGTTCTTTGAGCAGCCTTGTGTCGCAAGATGTACCAGATGATTGGTCATCATACTTCTTTCTGCCTTTCACGCCCTACCGATATAGATGTTCATCCACCTTTGCCGGGTACGAAGAACAACCTCGGCCGGTATCACACCCGTGTCGGATATAACAACACACCTAGAACCACATACTATCGGATAAAATGGAACCTGCTCTGGTGCTCCAAGGAGTCACGACGACTTGCTTGTGGTACATTTATCCATTCTGAATCTCTCGCATAAAGTATGCAGGTCCGTTCGGTCGTTGCGTTGTGTTGTGAATTCGCGTTTCAGGCATGACCTGGACCGTTGTCGCCAATACCTGATGTTGAGGGTGTCACTGATGGGCGTCATAATGCATACCTCGGGTAGGGTACATGTCACCATTCCAGGGTACCTCTTCGATCGCATTTTCAAAACACATGAGACGTCACAAGAAGAAACAGCCGGCATCTGCTTCATATAGCCAGCTCACCAGAGGAACTTCCGCATCGGAGTATCATTTCCTGCGGCCAGATTTCCAGGAAATCCACCGAAAATACTCCGTACAGTACCTACAAAGATCCATACCATGTGTCCTTAGGTCAGCCGTACGACTGTGTTGGTATAACACGAGTTCCCTGTAAGAGGATATCAAGAGATGAAAGCGAAATTGTTCATCATGTATATATATATTAATCCTCAACGTGCTGACGTCGAAACGGGCCCGCGTTCTTTCATCGTGGTTGGGTTTACTGTTTAGGAATCCATTCATGATTACTTCCCTGGGACTGCTTAACGGTCCCTCATAGCTAATCAAATATCCTGGCAAGTCATTGTACTCCTGGACTGTGCGTATAATGCTACATCCCACTATCGGCCAGTGTCGATCACGTTCAAGTTGTTACAAGGTCAGATCAATGGCTGTTCATCGAATCATCGACATGTAAGTAGCCCGTGCTTCCATCTTGAGCGCCTGTTCCTCTTGCGTCGGCTCTTTTGGTTTCGGCGAGTGAGCCTTTTCCTTCTTGTTCCGTTTACTGGGCAGGAGAGCCTTAAGGCTGGACATGGTCGATGTGCTTTGAATGGAAGCAGTGTCTGTCATGGTATTGTTCTTTTCGCTGGAGGTATATGATAGTGCCATTGCTTTAATCTGTGACGGTGTACTCATACGCAAGAGAGCTGTTTCTCGAGAATTGTAACAGATGGTCGAATATGAGAGGGAAACGCTGCCGATGTGTGGGCGAGGGAATGTCTACGAGTATATCTTGTACCCTTCAGGCCACCTGATTGGGATGTAAGGCGGCTGACCTGCTTCCGCTGACAACTGGCAAGACGATGCGCTGAAAGAGTATTCGTGTGGATATATGGCTGTATTGGGAAAGCTGGTGAAATTCTGTCTGGATGAACAGGTCGTTCCACTTTGTATGTTTGAGTATTTGACTTCAATGGAAAAATGGTTATCGGCAGAGGCGATGAAGGAAAGTAAGGCAGGAGCCTCAGGCATGCATCTGCGCAGGTCTATATACTCGACCCACGGCATTGTAAGTTAGTCAGGCCAGTGCATTCAACATTGACTTGTCTCCAGACTAGGTGGTCCGAATACGAGGCAAGAGGTCATTGTGTCCCGCAACGACTCAGCATTCTGACTCACCGACCCATAGTGGTTGATGGGTTTCGCTTTTTGGCGTCTTGGGACCTTCCTTTACAGTGCCGAATGTGCGCAGACATCATGGCCATTCGTCTTTTCGCATCGCCAGGGGACACCACTGGTTAGGCATCTCCCTGCATTGAACAGGCATCAGCGCAAAATTGGTCAGGCCAAGGTAGGCCAAGGTCGATACGATGCGGGCCGGGATATATACGCACCGACAGACGTGATTGGCTTCGGCACAATCCCTCTCCGTCGGCTGGGTCGTGCTGTATATGTATATCCTCGTACACCGTCGCTCTTAGGCCTTGACCAGCGTATTCGGATTCCAATTCAGACTGCGAAACAAGTCTCTGCTAGAATTGCTCAGGCTACTCCAACGCTCACCATCAAACTTGGAATCGTGATCTAGGCCAAATGTGACACATGAGTCTTGCACTACTAGCCGTATGACTCTTTGTTGTGGAGAAGAAGGGCGCGATTCATTTCCTCCAAGTGGAGATTGTGCTGAAGCATTCAAAGTGATAACCTCGTACAGTACAGTGACCATCAAGAATCTTCTGTCTGGGCGGCCCACCTTCCGCGATCTGTAGAAGTCCTATTATGACAACCGAGTCGCCCTTCATCACTTACTCTGCACGCCTTGTCTGAACCTGTATTGAGGAGCTCGAATACATAGGGAGGTTGACTCACTTGGCCATGCACATTGAGAGCATTGATCAGGAAAGCTGTGGAGTATGTATATGAATTTGTATATGCCTGATGTTATCACAGAATTGCGAGTATAGTCGCTGCATATCGTTTCCCCAGACCACCCTTTGGTATATATCATCTATTTTTCAAGTTTTGCAATGCTCGTGGATTTCGTTCCATATCAAACCTGCTGTTGACCGGTCTCATCAAGTTCAGAGTTCCAAAAGTGGTTCTTGGTTGTTGCAATAATTCATATCAGAAAGCGACAACCTGACTGTCGATTAATCATTGCGACTTGAGCTTTTCGGTCAATTCTGGCACTTTCTCAAACAAATCTCCTACCAAGCCAACATCGGCCACCTGGAAGATAGGTGCATCAGGGTCCTTGTTGATACAAGCGATGACCTTGCTGTCCTTCATACCAGCAAGATGTTGAATCGCTCCAGAAATACCAGCGCAAAGGTACAACTGTGGCGCCACATTCTTACCAGTCTGGCCGACCTGCAGACTGTTATCGGCAAAGCCACTGTCGACGGCTGCTCTTGATGCGCCAATAGCTGCACCGAGAGCGTCAGCCAAAGGTGGAATTAATCGATCAAACTCTTCCTTGGACTTGAGACCTCGGCCACCCGAGACAACTCTTGAAGCAGAGGCGAGTTCTGGTCGATCGGACTTGGCCAATTCTTCCGACACCCATTCGGTGGGAGATTCAACTTTGGGATCAACTCCCTCTTCCACTGATGCTGAACCACCTTCAGTCTCGGCCGGTGGGAAAGATGTCTGTCGAACGGTCAACAGCTTGATAGGGTCGCTGCTTTGTACTGTCAGGATCGCATTGCCTGCGTAGATGGGTCTGACAAAAGCTGGGACGATGTTAGCATGCTTCTTTCCCTTCTTGGCTGTGTCCCAGACTCACTGTCTTCGCTTTCAATAGACATAACGTCTGATAGCTGTTGGACATCCAGTAGCGCCGCCACTCGAGGTAGCAGGCTCTTTCCAAATGCTGAGTGTGATGTGACAACGTGTGTGTATCCACCCTTTTTGATGTTTTCTACCAGAAGAGGTGCCCAGTTCTCGGCAAGTCCTCGTTCATATGCCTCATTCTCGACAGCAAGCACCTTCTCCAGTCCTTGGATTTTGGCTGCCTCTTGAGCGATTGACTTTCCTGCCTTGCCTGCAATGAAGCCATGTACTGACCCTCCAAGTTTCTGTCCAGCTGTGACGGCACCCAATGAGCCACTATTAAGTTTCCCATCCTTCTGTTCTAGAATAGCGAGGGTGGAAAGGAGTCGTGCGCGAAAGGACATTGGAGACTCGGACAGGAACGATCTTGAGCATGCCTGCGCACGCAATGTGCGTAGAGCAGAATGCCTGGTTGCCGACAACATGGCTGCGTAGTCGATGGGCTATAGAGCCGCAGAATGTCGTACCTCTTCGTGATCGAGCAAAAGTGTTGTGTGAATGCAAACAGCAGCACCATCGTTGAAGCGGGATCATCATTTGGCAGTTCTGTAGATACGATGCGCCGTACCTCGGGAAGGGCAGGAACTCCGTCACCGATCACGGACGACACTCGGCTCGGCTAAATACGGCTATATCAGACGCCTGATTAGCGGTTATATACGGGATATTCTTTTCTGGGTTTATTTGTTGTTGACAAGAAGTTCATTCACTGATGTACTGTTTGACTGCTATTCTCCCTGGTTATGTTTCTAGGTACTGGGTAGAGTAAGTAAAACCCAGCTTCAACCCTTGTCCGTTCGAGCCTCCCTGCTTTTGACGAATAAAAAGAATCCCTGCCCGTACACTTTCGCTATGCAGAATCGCTCAATGCTCAATACAAACGTACGTCTTTGGCGTCAGGCAAAGAGCAACCACTTATGACATGCAACAATATGATAGCCACGGGGATACAAGCAAAAAGAAAAGTCGAGAAGAGGTATTTGCGGCCTGGGCTACTAATCAAAGCATTTATTGGTTGGGCGTGCCGAGGAGGAATTCGATTTCGACCGACATCGTCGATAGCTTATTTCGGTTTGCGCCAGAAGTATTGCTATTGATTCATCAGTATTCCTTAATGTAGTTCATTGACCACAGCTGGGCTTACCTTGTGCTGCTTGCGGCACGCTCGAAGTCCTGGCTTTCTCAAATCATTGACGACAGCTTCCCTCCTCTTCTCATCTTCGTCGAGATCCGGGATGTAATATAACTCACTCTCCAGTGGCTTGCCTGCAGCATCTTTACCTTCTCGTGCCACCTCGCCAATACATGAGGTTTCTTTGACAGCCTGCTTGATTTCGTTAATTGACAACGACAACGCTTCAGACGGTAAGTGATTCAAGATGGTCGACCACGGTGTTGATGATAGTCTTGAAAAGGCAAGCTGGTTGATGATATGGCCCTTGATATCAACTGTTGGTGACTCTTTCTTGATTGCTGCTGGAGGCTGATTTGGATGCAATGGCTCCGTGCGCGAGGATCGAGAACTCTTGTTGGAATCAGCTGGGGTGGGCGAATCTCCTGCCGTGAAAGATGCCATTCGTGGGAGTAGATTAGCACCGAAAGGTCCAAATGAGTGAATGATGGGGTCATTTTCTTCGTCATTGTCAGAGAACTCCTCGCCTAGGCTGGAATCAGTGTTCTGAGAGACAGTGGGGTTCTGGACATTTTCTGTAAGTGCTCGGGTTGATTGCGAGACATTTGTGGCATCGGGGATATGGTTGGCCTCTTGCACGGGATCTGGATCTTCATATATTTCGACGGTCTGAAGAACTCGATCCGTACTAAGAGGTGGTGACGACGGTAGGACTGCTTGAACGGCTGGTGATGGTGACACAGGCGAGACAGGTCGTCGTCGAGATTGCAGAGGGCTAGGGCTGGGAGGTGTTGAATGGCGAAGCAAAACTCGCTGTCGTTTGGTTGGGGAGGCTTCGTCATCTTCTTCATCGGACGAAATAGCACCTAGATGTTGCTTAGGCGGCCACTCAATAACAACACGACTGTCATGCACGTCGACCATGATCTCAGCATCTCGAACATCTGACGAAAATGTTTCCCCTTTCTGAACTTCGTATACCCGGCCCTTGCAATGTATTTTGATACCATTCCACCCAGTACACGATATCTCGACACGATCACGTTCGAGACGCGAACTGGCACCTTTATAGCATGCTTCAACGTGGACCCGAGAAATTAAGCGGTTTGCAGCGAACTGGTAGTTACAAGAGGCACTCGACCTTCCCATACGCGTGACCTTGCCATCACCACTCAGCTGAATTGAGGGGACGGTACCGAGTGGTGTACGTTCTGATAAAGTTGAAGAAGTTCTCGCAAGATCGGCTCTTGGGTTCGTCACGCGACTAGGTGACGAGGAGAGGATATGAGTAGAAGAAGTAGGGACAGGCGTGGGATACGTCGCGGGCTCGTCGAAGACCTCTCTGCTACGTTTCAGTGGTCTTGGGAGTGCCGGTGAGGAAGATAAAGGCTCAAAAGCAGGAAGTAGGGAGGTTGTAGGACGTTTTGCTGCCGGTGATTTGGAGGCTGCTGTTTCTGGAAGAGTAGTCGAGGGAGCCATGCTGAGCTCTCGACATCAGCTACCCAGTACGCGGGTGGCCGAGTATGGCTATTGACCAGCTCGAAACGCGTCCACAAACGAGGAGTTGTGTGGCCGAAGAAAGAACCTTGGTCATAAGAAAACCAGAGTAGAGGTCGAAAAGATTCTGAACAACAGTAGAAGACCTGCTAGATGAGGTTGAAATGGTCACTTAAGAGGCCAGAAATTGAGTGGTGGGAGAAAAAGGTCCAAGAGCGGTGGTTAGGGCGCGAGCGTGTCGCGCTTCGGTCACAGTTTTCTGGTCACGGTCCCATACGAATTACGGAGTTCTGTCGACGCGTTATAATTGAAGGCTTGCAAACCACACAAAATTGACATGCCTTTCGATTGGGTGGTATTCAAAATGTGCACAGAGAATGATTGTGTAGGCAGAGTTACGTTAGGTTACAGAAGACATTGAGGAAGACACAGCAAGCGCTGGCCTCTACAGGTCCATGTCACATGCCGAGAAAGCAGCCAGCAATGGGTGGCATTGGCTTCTCAGCGGCATGATTAGGCATCGCGAAATCCAAAATGTCTCTACACTTGTCTCCATCGCTATAATCTTCTAATCCCTTGCTTGACAACTCTACCGTGCGGCATGCTTCGGCAAAGTCATGCATGGTGGTAACGTCGTGAAGGAGGAGGTGACGCGCTTTCGGACTTGGAGATGCAAATGAGATTCGAAGATGCAATATAGGGCAAGTTGGCCGAGGAAGTGTGGGGTCTGCAGTTGGACTCCACAGCAAAGATCCCATCATGAATATCCGTGGCCGCAGGAAAAAAAAGTTACATGTCGTTGTGAGCAGAGACTTTGCAGTTGACAGTTTGCCCTACACCATGACTGCATCAGCTACCATGGCGCCCTCAACAATTATTCAAAAGCGGCCACAAGACACTCCGTATCAGCTTGATCCTGAACAGGTATGTGATCATGCGCGGTTGCACTCTAATCTCTAACATTCCTCACAGACGTTGAAAGCCTCACGAGCCCTCCTGCAGCACGTCCAGGCTGAAACCAAGCGCTTACAAGAGGCATCCTCCAAGCGAAATCTCCTCGATGCCGACAATTCAGACTCTGAAGACGACCCTTCGGCCGATCCAGAAGCGCCCATATGGCTCACTCTCACCACCAAGCAACACATTGTGGACAAAACTCGACTAAAGCCCAGCAAAGTATCGGTGCCGCATTCCCTCAATACGTCTCCAGATCTTCGAATATGCCTTATCACGGCCGACCCTCAGAGAGCAGTCAAAAATGTCGTTGCTGATCCAGCTTTTCCTGCAAGCCTGAAATCTCGCGTTACCAAAATCATCGGCTTCACCAAGCTAAAAAATAGATACAAGACATTCGAGACACGACGACAGCTACTGGCTGAGCACGATATCTTTCTTGCTGATGATCGTATCATTACCCGCTTGCCGGCAACGTTGGGCAAGATCTTCTACAAGGGCTCTTCAAAACGACCTATTCCTATTACTATTGCGCAGTCGCAGCGGGCTAAGAACGATATTAAGCAGAAAGCGACCAAAGGAGAGGGAGCTGCTGCACCTGCTGGGCCGGCTGTGCTGGCAAAAGAAATCGACAAAGCAGTCGACGCGGTGCCAGTTAATCTTAGGCCCGGTACATTGGTTGCAGTCCGAGTTGGTTTGGCTTCTTTTGGACCAGAACAGCTGGCGGAGAACATCGCTGCAGTAGTACAGAACTTGATCGAGAAACATGTGGTCAAAGGTTGGAAGAACGTCAGAGGCATTCACATCAAAGGCCAATCCTCAACTGCTGTACCCATCTGGCTTGCCGACGACCTTTGGACGGAGGCAGATGACATTGCTGCTGCTGAAGCCATTGAGGAGGGCCACCTGGAAAATGAAGCAGAGCAGGGGCAGAAGCGTAAGAGAAGCTCTAGAACCACCAAAGGTCCACAGGCTGGCACTCGTAAACGCACGAAGGTGGACGGGAGTGATGAAAAGCAAGCAGAGCGGAAAAGTGCTGAAGCCCGCAAAAGCAAAATTGCAGCTCAAAAGGCCAAGATCTTCGGCGAGGAGGTATAACGCTGGCAGAAGGACAGTATGGCGAGATTGTACGATGTCATGAATGAATTTTGGCATGAAATCGCAAGATTTCAAGCGGCGTTATGGTCACCACCAAAATATGAGAACCATTCCTTCTTCGGAATGTGTTGTCTGTTGCATAGACTAGTTAAGACAGCATGTATGGAGTATGGATAACTTTTCTCTAATCATGAAGTATCTGCAGAGGCTTTTGATCTGCTTTTGTCCTGTCTTTTTCCTTCACACCGAGTAAGGTATTCCTGTACTAAGTATTTGATCGCGAGGCTGGAAGTTCCATAAAAGGAAGCGGGAAGCGAGTTATGGAGGGGAACAAGGCTGTGGTTTTCGCCTAACATTCCAGCTTTGGACGACTGCGGGTTGGCCCATTTGGGATCTCATATCAAACGAAGTCAAGGACAGGATAGACAATTTTAATTATAAACATCACCAGTGAATCACTGGCTGCAAGATATCCGTGTTGATATCTACAGCCGAAAAACATCGCAGGCTTCCTGCATAGTCTCTGCTTGTCGTCATGCAAGCGATACTCAACTCTCTACAACACCGCGGCCCATCATGGACCGCAAGCGAAAACGTAGGACAAAAGCGATCGTGCACAAGCTTATACTGACCTGAGGGAAACAGGAGAGCTACGTGACTTAAACCTCCGCGTTTGGTCCGGAGCCAAAGGTACCAGATTAGCAATGAATTTGCGCACTGGGGCTAACGCACAGATAGACGTCTACGATGTCGCAACCTCCCTCGATTCATCCTTGAAGAAGAACACAGCCTTCATAAAACGCCTGCGCACAGGTATATCCTCCTCTGGTCAAGACACGTTTCTTCTAGAGGTTCGAACTTTATCCTTGCAAAAATACCTGTCTGAGATCATCTCAGCAACTGCCGAAGGTCTGAGCAAACTGAAGACCGCCGGTGAGATTGCTGCAGCAGTTGAGATTGTCAGTGCGCTGCATCAAAGATTTGGACCTGGAGAATACACAAAGAAACTAGGCTGGCTCTTGGGCAAAGGCTTGACACCTCCAGACAAAGCACAACTCAAACAATGGACTCCTGAAGTTCGCGAACGTGAGGAGAAGGAGCGGCTGCAACGACATCGCATTCTACTCCGAGTGGTGACAGAATTCTGGGTCTGTGGAATTCTCCGGGGCCTCGACGATGTTGAACGCCCCGATGATGTCTCGGCAAAGGGTAAAGAAAACCCATCCCAAGCAGTAGGCAAAACAGCGCCGATTTCAAATGGTCTCAAATCTGACGGTCACCTTGAACATGAGCCTTTTCCTCTCGAAGTGCTGAAGGAGTTACTGGGTCATGATTCTGAACACGCCAATTTAAGTCTTGCTGTACTTTTCGTGAAGAACTTCGCTTGGGATGTCTTGGGTCTCAAATCGCCCACTGATGAGGGTCGAAAAACAATTGATGCAGATGGTGCTGTTGTAGACACAGCCAAGGATGCATCGTCCTCAAACGACGCAACTGAAGAAGATGCACCTTTTATTCCACCACCTGTTCGACAACGATTCATCAATATCTTTGAGCGCTACTTGTCTAGTGTTAAGACCCATATCATACGTGATCAAAAGTCTCTGAACAACCAGAGTCGACGCAATGCGGAGGCTTACGTCAAAAGTGGCGAGATCTTTGAGGACAGGCAGGCAAATTTTGAGAAGCAGACAAAGACTCAAGAGAAACTGGTTGCGAATGCTCAGGTCCTCTGTGACATCCTTGGACAAGAAATGCCTGATCTTGAGGACAAAGACGGCACTGATAATTCAGCTTCAGGTACTGTGGGTATGATCAAGACGGGCGAGTATCTGAAAGGATCAGGTGATGGCGCTGGTATGTGGGAAGATGAAGAAGAGCGTCGCTTCTACGAGAATCTGGTCGATCTTAAGGGTAGGGTACCAGCAATCCTGCTCGAGGACTCTAAGAAGAAATCCGAGGCGGAGGATCGAGCTGAAGCCAATAATGAATCCCCTAAGACTTCAGACATCGACGATCAGTCCACTGCCATCGCGAATAAGACAGTAGGAGCTCAGGTCGATGCTATTCTACTACGACTACCCGATCTCCAAACCAAAGAAATGGTCGACCAGGTCGCCCTAGATTTCTGTTTCCTCAACTCAAAGGCGTCACGAAACCGATTGATCAAAGCAATACAAGATGTTCCCAAAGGCCGAACGGACCTTCTTCCATTGTATGCTCGACTTGCTGCCACTCTTGGCCAGTACATGACAGACATCGTGCAAGGCTTAGTCACACATCTTGATGACGAGTTCAGAAGTCTTCAACGTCGCAAGACCAAAGACTTCCTAGGTCAGGTTCGGCTATTGAACATTCGTTACCTTGCAGAGCTCACCAAATTTGGCATCGTGCCAGAGCACGTCATTTTTCATTGTTTCAAAGTCAGCTTGGACGACTTCTCACGAATGAATATTGAGATCATTGCTCATTTGCTCGAGAATTGCGGAAGATACCTTTTGCGAAACCCTGAGACATCTCCTCGAATGGCCTCCTTTCTTGAGACGCTCAACCGGAAGAAGTCTGCTCAACACTTGGGTACGCAGGAACGCATGTTGATCGAGAATGCGCTTTACTATGTCGATCCTCCGCAGAGGGCTGCAATCCAACAGAAAGAACGCACGCCTATGGAGCTTTTCGTGCGTCAAATGATATACATGGACATGACAAAGCGCAACTACATGAAAGTGCTCAAGACAATTCGAAAGCTGCACTGGGAAGAGAAAGAGGTGGTTGCGATGTTGCAGAAGATATTTAGTAAACCTGGTAAAGTCAAGTTCAGCAATATCCACCTCCTTGCCGTCCTCTTGCAGGCTCTGTACCGCTATCACCAGGATTTTGCGATAGGAGTCATCGACAATATCCTCGAACAGATAACTTTGGGCCTGGAACAGAATGACTTCAAGTTCAATCAGCGGAGAGTCGCTGAAGTTAAGTACCTCGGTGAGCTGTACAATTACAAGATGATCGACTCGACGGTCATTTTCGACACCTTGTATCGAATTGTAACGTTCGGCCATGAGGGAGGTACTCCGCAACCTGAAAAGTACAATCCATTCGACCCTCCGGACGACTTCTTCAGAATTCGGCTAGTCTGCACGATTCTCGATACTTGCGGCATTTGTTTTGACAGGGGCAGTTCAAAGAAGAAACTTGACTTCTTTTTGGCTTTCCTGCAATACTACATGACGACCAAAGACCCACTTCCGATGGAGGTTGACTTTCTTGTACAAGATACATTTTCTCTGGTCAGACCCAATTGGAAGCTTGTTACTGAACTCGGAGAAGCGGCCAAGGTTTTTGCGGAAGCTGTCAGCACGAACTACAAGCAGTCAGCCTTGGAGAAGGGAGCCGATCAAGCAGAAGAGTTGGAAGATTCTGGCTCTGACGAGGACGCTCTTGCTGAGGGCGACGGTGAAATCGAGCCGCAAGTGCCACAATCTTCGGATGAAGATGGCGAGGTACGAAATTCCCAGTGTACTGATCTTTTGACTGACCGAGGACAGGATGGTATTCTCGATGATGCGGGCGAGGAGAAGGAGCCGGTTGATTCTGACGAAGAAGAACAGATCGTGGTTTTGCGCCAGGAAGAGCAGCTCGATCCAGAAGCTGAGGCAGATTTTGACCGAGCCTTCGAGAGAATGATGGCCGAAAGTTTGGACTCCCGGAAATTCGAACGTCGAGCACAGTTTGATGTGCCTTTGCCCATACGCAAAATCCAGCGCCAGACTGCTGAGCCTGTCGACGAGGAACCGAAGACACCGGTCGAAACCGAACCAAATACGATGGCATTCTCCTTGATGACTAAGCGAGGCAACCGCCAGCAGGCAAGTATCCTCTGAAGGACCTTGTTGTCTTGATTCTCTACTGACGTGACTAACCATTTCTCAGACGAAGACGATTGAGCTCCCTTCGGATTCAAGCTTTGCGATCTCGATGAAATCCCAACAGGCCGCTGAAAGAGAGGAGCAACAGCGTATCAAGAACTTGGTCTTGAACTATGATTTGCGTGAAGATGATCAACACGATGGTATATCCCAAAGTCTCCCTAATGATCCTACCGTGCTACCCCCTTTGCAAAAGAACCCCAATACTAAGGGACTCAAACCAGGCTTCGACCATTACAACCCTTCTCTTAGCCGGTCTGAAAAGTCTGGGCGCAACGCACCTCGTGCCAGGAGACTTAATCTTAGTGACGTGGACTGGTATGAAACAAAATCCCCCACCCCAAGTGGTTCGAGAGGCAGATATGAAAACCGAAAATCTTCTGCTTCACCAACCCGGAATACCCCTAGGATGTCGAAGAAGCCAGGCTGATTGGCCATTTCTGGCCTGTATAGGACTTGAAATGCAACGTGCAGGGCCTGTAATGGCCAATGTTTGTTTCCACAAAACCTGAGATTGTAGCAACATGCATTATCTCAACGCGCAACCCTTTGGGTAGTGGCACGACGATACGGATAAGGTATCAACGCTTGCTGTCAAGACGTCGCAAATCCCTGTGGCACAGTGCCTTGATGTGTCTAGCGAAGCGGCACTAGCAACGAAGTTGTAATGGAAGGGTCTGACTCTAATTGTGAGGTATCCGACAAAAATGCAGCTTCCGGCCGAGTCCGTCCAATCCATGTGCAAATGCCTTCTGAGGATTGAAGCGAACGGAGGTAAAACGAAGCGGTGCGATGGTTCGTCTTGCTTCAGGTCCCGGCAAGTGTGAAACATTGATGAAGTTCTAGGGTGAACAAAGGTCGGGGGCCGTCGAAGGAAAGCTCAATCATATTGGAGCGAATGTGATTACTCGTGCTCATCTGGCCGCCAAATTCGGTGGGCCACTGGTCGACGTCCCACTCGAGACCTTTAGTGGTGATCAATGTACGTCCGAGGATGGGTATGATGCCGACGTTTTCTTCAAAATATCCGGCTTCGAGATGGACCAGATTGATACTATCAGCTAGGACAAATGATAAGCTTTGTTCAGATAGGAGATATATGCGGCCGGTCAGAAGTTCTTTATCGTTTTCTGCAAGATATAAATGATGGACTTGAGAAAAGCCCTGATCCACACGGCCACCGAGTCCTCCCAGCACGACAACGTCCATGGTAGAGTCGGACGAAATGGCGACCTTCGTGGTCCGGTCGCGAATCCACTTTAGGCATTTCGTGAAATCTGTGGAATACTGATCGGGATCTCTGACGACCTGGACTCCGCGGGACCGATAATATCGTTCCGTCGGCTGTGTGATGGAATCAAGATCCCCTATGATAGCATCTGGCAGCCGTTTCTCGAAGCCATTTGTGGCATTGTGGTCGTACTCCAACAATCTGTTAGCCCCTCCGTCGGCGCATACTAACAGAGAAGCTGACTGGATGACCGCGTTCAAAGCATTTTTGTTGATTGGCTGGTTCAGGATCAATACGGCATATGGGTTTGTGGGCTTGTTATTCAACAACCCACAGGGATACCAGTCTGTCGACATTGCCAGAGAGACGTGCTCTTCGCACGGAAAAGGTTGAAAAAGTGTGACGAGAATAAAGGCTCTTCCGGGGCATCGCGGTATGTAGTTCCTGGGTAATAAATACTCCACCCGGTCCAACACCTTCTACGGCGAGGCATAAGAACACTTGTAAGTTTAAAAAAAAGTGGCCGACGTTGCGCAATTAGTAATTGTGAGGTCAAGCATTTCCATACGTAGGTAGTGACGGATTCTCACAATTTATTCATCGCAGGTCTTTCGTTCCTGATACCTAAGCTGCTAGCATGCCTCTTTGCCCTTCCAGTTTTTGATCTGTCTGTCCAGACCGAAGTTCTCAATATGTTTCGACCAGCGGCGCGAAGTCTACTACGCTCCGCAGCTCCCTCTTCTCTTGCTCCAGCGCGGACGGTAGCCGGACGAAGATGTGCCAGCACATCGTCGCCCGTCAACGCTCGGAGGTCCTGGAAGAGCAGTGCTGTGAGATGGGGTCTTGCAGGCGCATTCATATACTATTACAACACAAGTCCCGTGTTTGCGGAACAGCCTCAACATAGTACGTGACTAACCTCGATTGCTTTCAGGAATGAGTACTGACTGTGCATGATTTTCATAGATCTCTTGAACCCAAATCTCGATGCCTATGAAGACGCAACCAGTACGACTTCACTAGAGGAATTAACATCCCGACGGGCCCGGAAGGCCGAGGGAAACACCGCTGCCATCAAGTCTACCGTCGATAGCCTATCTTCCGAAAATGCGTCGACATCTGTATCCGCCGGCGAAGAACCAGAACCGCACCACGCAAATTCCGTTGCAGCCCTCGAGGGCGATCTAGAACAAGAGGCGCAGAGTGAAGGAGCTTTCAACCCCGAGACGGGCGAGATCAATTGGGACTGCCCGTGTCTGGGCGGGATGGCCCATGGCCCATGTGGACCAGAGTTCAAAGAGGCATTTTCATGTTTCGTCTTCTCGACCGAGGAACCCAAGGGAATGGACTGCATAGACAAGTTCCAGAACATGCAACAGTGCTTCCAGCGTTACCCGGAAGTCTACAAGGGTGAACTGGAAGATGAAGAGGAACTTGATGCCGGGTTAGAGGCGGAGAGACAGGAGTTGGTGAATGAGATTGCGGAGAGGAAAAAGCAGCAACAAGATGGACAACCACAACGTAGATTGTTGGAAGAACCTACCTCAACGCCGACAATGGGTTCGGGAAGGAAAGCAAAGAAGTCGGCCCCAAGGAGCGAAGGAAACCCTCCTCGGGAAGAGGGCAAAGTCAAGATTCATGACGATGAAACGTACTCGCCTGAGCGAGAGAACATCCACGAAGGTCAAACATCGAAGCCAATCTCGCAGCCGAGAACCAAGGCTTCAGACGAGGCTGAGGTTTAACGTTTACCTCGACCTTTCCGCTTTGATCAGGTCGAAAGAATGGTACGATGCAAAGCTTTCAGAGACTTTGCTTGCACCTGTCTATTCTGCCTGCATGTACAGTATTTAATCTTAACCACCTTCCTACTCCCACTGGTCAACTATTTCCTTCAGCCAAGAGCCACTGTACTTCGAAGGAAAAGGCACAGGGGTAAAAGAGGGCAAGTGTACACCAACTGCATGTTCAGGACCAGCATGCACAAACCGCTCGACGCATTAGGTACAACGATAGCTGGCTTTTGTAACACTTCCGCGGTTCCAACGCATGACAGGACAGAAGCAGAAAAAATAGAAATAGAATCTTTCCTCTCCTCAAGGCTTGACGAGATGAAGATCAACTAGGTACTTTGCAAGGCTCTCGCGTGCTTTCTGAGTTCGTCGCGTCGCGTACTCCGTATTATGCCTAGGTACGGAGCAAGTCATGGATCCTCAGGACTTTGACAGGACCAGGTAATCTCTCGCTGATAGTGCTTACCAGGCCGAATGTCTTGCAGGGCCAACGCCTTTTTTCTTGGCTGGCCGCCACGAGATATCCCAGGTCTCCATCGGGAGGGAATTCGGATTAAGCCTCCAGTTTGATTGCTTATCGAGGGGGGTGTTTGCATATTGTGGAGGCGAAGGATGTTGTTTTTTTCATTTACAAATTACAGGAGTAGGGTTTGGGAATGTGGCTCTCGTGCTCGAAGTTGTCAGGGGGAGACCGGACAAAACAAATCAACTGGACATGAACATTGGGAGGAAATATGTTTGAAATCGAGGCCGAGGACAACAACAATGCATACGTACGGAGTACCCACGGAGGAGAGGGACCAAGGTACTTTCTGTAGGGCGCATTCTCGGTGTGTCCAGCAGGCCACCCAGGGTTGGTTTGCACTATGGGCCTACAAATGTCTGGCACCCCCTGACCAATACATCTTACTAGACATTTTACGGAGTACGCGGTGGAGAACAGACGATTCGACAAGGTTGAAACAGGCTTTAGGACGATTGGAAGGCTTCGCTCGGTACTCAGACCTCGTGGGAGCTATGCACAGTATTCCAACACCATCCTTGTTCGCGTAGCCTAACGTAAAGACTTTTGTACGGAGTACAGTAGTGAGCAAGTTCGGGGGGAGGGGTGGGAAGTCCGCATTATTAGCAGCAGATCCGAGTGATTGGAAATGCAAAGAGTGAGAGCTCCAGGTGTGTCCTAGGCAATGAATATACAGTATGCTCCGTATGTGTCTCAAGTATGCATGGTCATTTCTTCTCCTCTGCAACCGATCTGTGAACCTCTTATTTGTTGTGTATTGAAATAGCCGCCCACCATGCAGTACCGTTATGCAAACGAATTTCCTTAGTGGAAGAAAGGAATGCGTTGGTGATGATGAGATGAGTCCTTCGCCTCCGTGCTCTGCATGGTGAAAGCGATCGGCTCTGTCACTTCAGATCACGGCTGCCACTCATCTTGACTCGCCCTAACAGGGATGGTTAGTGGCTTATTGGGGCGGGCGGCTGTTTTGGATCCCAAGCCCTGAAGAGCCCGAAGAGGGGAGCAGAAGCACCCGGCCTAACCTAACAAACTGCTCCAAACTAACGGGTGGCCCCTACCCCGTCCTTCGTCCCTCAGCCTATTGTGCTCCCGTATAGGCACTAGACCTCCCTAAGCTCGTGCCCTCCATGGCCAATTAGACAGACAGTCGGTCCCCTCCATTCGCTTTGTTGGTCGAATCATGCCCATCCCCTTGGTTTTTGTTCTCTGGTGACTGACTAAGATCGAGTCTTCTCTCTTTTTCCCTTGGACTGACTTCTTTTTGCCCTCACCTTGCACATTCATCTTCCTCCCACCACCACCACCTCTTTTTCGTCGGTCTTGTTTCTTCTTCCACCCTTCCAAGTCGATACTCGACATCGACGACATCCCCTTTTTCCATCCACCCTCCGTCTCTCTCGCGTCTCGTGCCTTTCCTTACCACCTAGTCCGATTCTGCAGGTTCGCCCTAATCGCAATTTCGACCACGATCCAGATCCAGAGCCCCCCCGAGAGCTTGACAGCTGCTGTCCCTGGTCGGCGGATTCTGCCTCCTCACTGCAATTCGATACCCATATTCAAAAAAGCTCACCTCGATACTTACATACGTCCTAATCACCATCGTCTTTCTTTTTCCCAGCTGAAAAGGAACTTATTCGATCATTGCCGAGCAATATCCTACTACAACCCACCGTTCATTGTCGTACATTTCGTATATTATTCGCCGCGTTAACTAAAGACTGCCCTGTACATTTTCACACATCATTTGCCTCTGCGGCCCTCTTGTCAGCACATCACACAAACTCACACAATCTCTCTGCGCCTTTGACTGCTACAGCTGGCTGAATTTCTGGTACGTCTCTCTTGTCGGCATCACGCGGGATCGTATTGTATTGTTGTTCTGACCATTATCCTCAGGCAGGCATTTCATCGCTATCCTCAACTTTCTCACGTCACTAGATTCCTCGCCGCCTTTTTACTTTCTCGGCCACGATACGAAACCTGACCTCACACGAATCTCAGTAATCTTCTAATCCTCGAAACAATCATCTCACTCATACCTTCATTGCAATTCACTTCTACGCGTCTCGACGCCACGGATATTACGGCTACTTTCTTGACAGATCCCTCGCTGGATCTCGCCTATCCGCATTACACACTTTCAGCATTTCATCCTGGTTCTTCAGCTCCCACATTTTTCTTGCCTTCAGTCATAGAAAACAATGAGCATCGACGCTGGCGGTCTTGCTCAAATGACTTACCAGTCTCCTTTCAACAACTCCATCGGCGTTTCCGGCCCCGGCTTTGCGTCGCGTGGAAAAGGCTCTCACATCAAACGTCTCAGTGTTGCCCCTCCCCCAAAGATTTCGACCATCGATGAGACTCAACAGGCCAACGTCGGCGCGACACCACGAACTAGCCGTAGTCACTTGCTAGCCGGTCTTCGTACTGCCCCGAAATCTGCCACCGTGCCTCCGGCTAGCAATGCCATGGGTCTCGAAGGCAGCAAGTACGCTTCGAATTCGCAATACGGAAACCACATTCCGCAGACTGCAACTGGCACGTACTTTCCAAACAAGAGGGCTTCGTACCATGGCGGCAGCTACCAGCAGAATTATTCCCTGCCTGAACATGTCCTGGCTCCTCCATCGCTCGACTTTGTAGACCCAACAGACCCAATGGATCAAAATCTTTATGACGAATTGGTAGCGACCAACAATTATCTGGCTCAGCAGCAACGAGCTCTGCAGCAACAACTTCTCAGCGTTACTGCGGCCGCTCAGCAACTGGGAGGACTGAACCTCAATTCTGCCATGATGACCAACCCTGGCCAACAATTCCAGTCACCCATCAATTCTCCTATGAGCATGTACAGTCAGCAATTCCAACAAGGCCTGCAACCTGTTGTTCAGCCGGTGCCTGGAAGTCCTGGCGTGTTTGCTGTCTACAATCCCATGACGGGTCAGTCAAACTTCGTGGTTGACCCCTCCCTCCAACAACAGCAAGACACCTTGTCTTCCCGTCGAAACAATTCTGTCTCACCCCCTCCTGCCAACGCTGGCTACCAACGTCAATTCGCCGAGCCTCATCCCCTGTCCGACTCACGTTCGCGTACTCCTCCCAAGTCCACACCGTCTCCGCAGATGGACGTCGAACCACTCCCACCGCCATCTGCCAATGCTTTCCGACGAGGACACAGAAAGAACGCGTCATCTGTGAATATCAAGACGACGGGCGAGTGGACAAAAGGAGCGGCGGGGCTGAGATCAGCCGGTATGCCTCAGACTCCCATGACTGGCACCTTTGGTCCTGGACAAGGACGTGCTGGAGAGCACCCAGTCAGACAACCAAAGAACCCACCTCATCTTCAAGAGTTGCAAGACAAGCCAACATCAAAGCACGAAGGAAGCAAGAATTTCGCTACACGTCAACGTCGTCGAGCTGTTCATGACTTGGTTCGTGCAGGTCGCGAGCGTCGAAGCGATGGTCGTCAGTCGGGTTCTGGAGCCGGCACGCCTGGAAGCGAAAATGAATTCAACTTTTCTGTCTCGTCCGACAACGATTCCGTTCTCGCTGGCAGCACTAGTCTTTCAAGCAAACCAAGCATGGGTAGTCTTCGTGCTGCTGCCAGTGGTGTTATTGGTGGCGAGAGAAAGGAGATATCCCGAGAACGATCTTCAGTTGACAGCATTGGAGCCATCAGTGCTAAGAGCCTGAGCAGTGATGAAGGTAACCTCATTGGAGGGTCTATGGTTGAAGTTGAGCAACCTGCTAGACGTAACACTCCATTGTTGGTCCTTAGCAACGCCGAAAAACGCAAGAGCGTGATCATGTGAAGGACGATATTCAGGGCAGCGCCCACCTATTCCACAACTCACCGAGTACTCTTGGAAGACTCAGCCACTCTTTTATCATCACGACTTGATGACTGCAGCCCAGATTAAATTGGCACGACATTACTGTTTTTTCTACACTCGATACTTCCTATGAAAAAAGAGAAAACCCCAGGCACCCCTGATGGAGGAGTACTAGTACTGTCTTTAATGGGACCTTGATTATCATTGCTTTCTCTTTCTTTCTTCTCTTCAGCCAGGTTTTGTTTGCATCTCGAATTCCCGGGGAAAGATCAAGTAATTGTGTATGCAAGTATGCAAGTATGCATGACTCTCCTGCAGAGATGCGAGAGGATTCTTTCTGTACCCATCAGACCTGGCTTATCTTTGCTAGCAACAAACTTGGGGTGGTTGGCATGATGAAGCGGATGAAGTTTGGGGGGAGAGAGTCCTTTGTTAGTATTGTTGGATTGTCACACCTCGATTTTAAGGAAATTGAGATGGAGGTCCTGGAATGGAGCGAAGGATTAGGGCTGTGAATGTAGTTGACCTTGAAACCATTGAACCTAGTTGATAGCAATTATTATTTTTATTATCATTTTTTTTTTGCGCTTCCTACGTTTGATCACCTCTCTACCACCCTTTAAGCTGTAGGAAAGGCTTCCGGGGGGTTCTGAGGGCGAGCATAAACATTACTTTATTTGGAAACGTCTGACTCGAGACAGAAGAGGAACGATTGAGCTACCGTCATGCCTAGGTAAAGCAGGCAGCTAGAGAATGTCCAGACGTGCCTTTTGGTCTCTCGCGAGACGTCATTTAGTCACCGTGCTTGCTAATTTTATAACTTACCATCTTCAAATTTCAAGGTAAAATGACCGTCGGGGGCCCGATAGCTCAGTGGTAGAGCGAGAGATTGCAGCTTTGACATGGTAGCAACTATATCTCTAGGTCACGTGTTCGATCCACGTTCTGGCCTTTCTTTTTCCTTTTTCTTTTGCTCAAAAGAGAAGATTATTTTTATTGTCATTTACTTTTGCTGTCTTTTTCTGAAATGTTTGCTGGCGTTGTCGTTGAAAATGTATATATATATATATACACACACAAACACCGAGTACGGTTGTCAACAAAAAGACCTAAAAAAAAAAAAGGAAGTTGTTCTTAGAAGCCACGGAACGAAAATGTTGTCTTGAATAACCGGGACTTGTTCGTCAAGTTTTTCAAAACGTGGATTTTGTTCCCAACAGGGGTTCTATTTTCTTGGGGGAGATTTTTTTTTTCTTTGGCTTTGTGTCGACACCATCGACGGACATTTTCATGCTTTGCAGTAACTTTTTGACGAACTCTTCAGACGGGTTTGTCGTTGTTTGTCATGATTTCTACCAGTCTCGTCTTTGCGGTTTCTAGATCCCATGGACCGTCGAACCACGGGGAGTCATGTCCACCTGCATTGTTTTCGACTGTCACTGTCGATGACTTCTTGAGGTGTTTTGTCGTCGAGGGTGTGGACTTGTTGATGACCAACAATCTACCTTGATCGTCAAAATACACTCCCTCTTTCGCGAGTAGGTCGAGTTTTTTGGTCTGATTGATTGTACTTGGTGCTTTTTGCCCTTTTGATAAATTTTGACCGCGTCAGTGCATGCTCTCGGATTGCAGCAAAGGTATCGACGGGCGGTACTGATACTCCTCGGTAGTGTTTACTTACAATCACCCATGAATCCACCTACGTGACCATCACTCGCGATGACCCTATGACATGGGACCTCTGGTGCAAAAGGGTTGTTCCTCAAAGCACCACCCACGGCGCGAGGTGAAGTCGATAATGATTTTGCCAGTGCACCATATGAACAAACTTTGCCTCGTGGGATGGCCAGGAGGGAAGTGTAGACTCTCTACGTTTTGTGCTTTAGTATATGGAGTGTATGGAGTACCCGGAGACTCGTAAAGAGGTAAAAGAACGTCTGGGGGAACATTTGGAAAGACTGACCTCTTGAAACTCAGTAATGGCCATGGTATTTTGTCCGTGACTTGTGGTTTTGGTTTTCATGATTTGAAAACCGTTCAGGGTTCCGATCGTACTCCAAGGTTGAGTACTGTAAAAGAAGTGGTAGTTGAGAGAGAGGAAAGACTCGGATTTGGAAGAAGCGAGGTCGTTGGGCCGTGTGGTGATGGTGGTGGTGGTGGTGGTGGTGGTAGTACTGAAGAGTGACTGAATGGAAAAGGTTTGAGATGATGAGATTGACGTATATTGATATGGAGTATTGTCGACCAGGGGATCGTGTTCAAGTGACAAGACGGTATAGTATGGGATGTTTTCGTATAGTCTCGATATCTTTGACACATGCCCTACCTTATATGTTCTTTCAAGACTCTCGTTCTTGTGTATATTTCACCCTTCGGACTCATTGCCAGGACGAACTTCCGTGGCGAAATTAAAAGGGAGAGAGATGTCAAAGTGACGAATGATGGTGTTAGCTGGACATAGTTAAAGCATGGTTATAGTATGAGTCAGAAACACAATAGCTCCAAGGCATCCATATGTACCCTCAGTAGCTCACATGTCGATGGACATTGATGGCAAACATTGATCTTTCAATGATGTAGTTGGTTTGATTAGTCGTGATTGGTCAATTTGACAGCAACATACCTACAACTAATTTCAGGGGGGGGTACGAGGACCAGGCAGTCCATCATCCTCCCGTAAACCACATTTCGAGACCTTTTGACGAGGCAGATCATGTCTTGACGATAGCAAGACAATCAAATCTATTCGAGTCTATGGGACTGACACTTTACTAAAAGACGACTTCCACTGTAACGGAATAAATAGTTTGAATTTCGGATTTCACAGACTCCTTGCCAGACATGCATCCCTCCGATTTTCAAACTCCAAACGACCATCCAACAAACCAATTGTTTTTTCTTCTCTCCTTCTCCAATCCAACATCACTGAGACTCGGCCAACTCAAACAAGGCGATTGTCTCACAGAAATTCGCCCTGTTCACACTATACGGCACGACGTCGGTACCTTCGTAACTGATCATGAATTGACTCCCTTTCGTGCTCAAAGCCCAAAGGTAGACGTCGGTGGAATTGTGGATGTCGACCATTCGTTCTTGACAGCTCTCGGTGCCCAGGCAGGCCTGCGTGTTCCAGTTCTCGAAGAAATTGTACAGCCCACCGCCGTACATGAAGATGGAACTGGAATTCAGGATCCGAAGACCCCAAGTCCGGGCGCAATTCGCCGCCGTGCAGTCCGAGTAGGTGGGATCGTTCCAGCTGCTCTGCGGTGTGAAGTAGGAGTGGAGGGCGTCAGGGTTGCCTTGGTAATACGCCGTCTCATGCTGAATGTGACCCATGAAGACGTTTTTCGTGTTGGAAAATTGGTAGTCGTACATGACGCTGTGCTCGGAAGCAGTGCCGTACAACCACACCGGCCCTTCTGCAGATTCAAAGAGGAAGCCACTGTTTGTTCAGGTCAGGACGAAGAAAAACACAACATCATCGGTGGGAACCCCCCCAACAAACTTACGCCTTGTTAAAAATGTAAATCTGGTCACGAGTCCCCATGTCCAATTCGTGGTCGGCCACCCAACCCCAAGTGTTCTCAAAGTACCCATCGGCTTGAGGAGTGACGTGCAACAATAGAAAGGCACCGATACAGTTCGTCAATACAGAACTTCCAGAAGTGATGGGTTGGGAAGGAGTTTTGATGCATTGGTCCATTTGAAGATTCGTCCCGGCAGATCCTCCAATACGCCAGTGAGCATCCCACATGCCCGCCAGTGCTGGGCCTTGAGCCTTGATGTTCCATTCGACGATGATGGCACCGGGACATGGCCCCCGAGTCTCGAAAATGATATCCGAGATCTCTACCGTACCGACGTCGCCTGGGTTGCCGATCTTTAGCACCGGCTTGGGGTTCATCTGATCGTTCCAAAAAGACCCCGTGGCCATGATGATGGGAAGCATTTCACCCGTCATTTTAAGGGTTGGTGGGACGTTGATCGTGCTCGTCACAATATATGCGCCCTTGTCAAAGTAGACGACCTTGTTTGTGCTCGCAGCGAGATTGAACAGGTTCTGCATCGCGACGGTATCATCTTGAAAGTACATGAAATGTCAGCGAGAATCAAGTTGGCCTTCCTTGAGGGTTACTCAGACTGACCTGTTTGCCCGTCACCGGCAAGACCGTTGGCTTTTGCGCTCAAGAACGAACTCCATTGCAATGTTTCGTATTGTGGTTTCACCCGGTAAATATACTGACCATTACTGTCGACCAAATTGGAAGGGCGAGGAACAGGTGCGAGTTGTCTCTGAATGGTGGTCTCCTGGGCAGCATAAACAGTTTGACTGGAGTTGGCGTACGTGCAAGATGTGCCGTTGAAGCTTTGGCCGTTCAAGCCTTGTCCTGCAGTGGTCCAGGCATTTCCTTGAGCAAACAGGTCGATGAACTGTCCGCCGGGGAGAACGGTCCTTGCTTGAGTGCCTCCAGCGGCAGAAATTGCGTCGACACTGCCTGTAAAATCAACCCTCTCGAGGACCAACGTCCCCGCAGCCTGAGGAGAGCTATAGCCTGGGGCGTAGGGCGTTAGGATACCCTGTTGGGCCGATATGACGCTGTCAAGAACGACGACCGATCCAGTGGCCTGGTTGGAAAACCCTCCATTGGTCATGTCGATGCCGACGTTGGAATTGGTGATTGAGACCTGAGTGAAAAGCCAGAGCCAGTCGAAGTTCATCTTGATCGCGGTTGCACAACCGTTGAAAGTCAACTTCCTCGTGGTGAACTGCTGGTTACCAAGGTACATGCCCAGAGATCCTCCGTTTACGGTAACATCAGAGAAGAATCCGCCTGAGCCGTTTTCCATATAGACGCCTTGTTGCGCATTATTGACGACATCTTTGGCCACCATATTGATCACGATGTTCTGCAAACTCGTCGCCTGGGCGACTTGCCAATGGATGCCGGCGGCAGTAAGAGGAGCCGTGGTCATGTCAATGATGAAGTTGCGGATTTGACGCCAGAAGTTGTTTTGGTTGGCATACCACTCATTTCCGGCTCCATTGGGAATATAGATATCTGCATCCATCACAGCGAGACCAATAATTTGGGTATAGTTTGCTGCGACTTTGATCGTGGGAGGAGTCACCGCGTCGCCAACCATTTGTGTCATGTAAAACATGATCAATGGTTTGGAGACAACGTAGGTTCCAGGAGGGAAGTAGACCAAGGCTGGAGTCACCGTCGAAGACTGACAGAATGAGCCTACAGTCGAATTTCCTCCTCCGCAACGGCCATTGAGCTTTGATGTTATGGTGCTGAGACTTCCTGGAGCCGAAATGGCGTTGTTGATGGCGTCTGTGTCATCTTGGATGCCATCGCCTGGTAGCTTGTCAGAGACTTTGCGAATGACTGCTAACGTTGGGAACACTCACCTCGCGCCCCGTAGTCTTTGACATTGCGAAAGACGGGATAGTTTAGATTCGTCTGAAACGCGACCGTCCCGACATTTGGCTTATTTGCTAGCCAATACGTCGACGCCGCAGCGTTTGAACTGCCTAGAAGCAAGGCTGCATACAGCCCAAAGACACAAGCGTAAGAAGGCCACATTTCGGTCTGATTTTGCTGAAAAGATTTGAGGCTTCCTGCTCGATTAGTGAGAGTACAATCCACGGGGATATGATGGAAATGCATCCGCGCGTATCTGACACGAGTGCAAGGAGCATTTCGACAGATACTGGAATGTGACTTGGCAGGAATGTGGTTTCGATGGGAGGGAGTCTTTTAATATCCCTTCAAGTGGAAGAATGGCGATAAGTAAAAACACTTTGTCTCGTTTAGTCGTGACGCAAACACTGAATTCAACGTTCGGCAATCGAGAAGAAATCATTTCCACTGTCAACCATGAAACTCGTAAACCTACTCTTTGTCACAGTCGGTCTCTTTGCATTTAGCACACTGGCAGATGAGCAGGGCGGTGACAGGTATGCAAGTCCGAGAAATGGTATGCCAGTGAGACAACAGCTGATTAGACGATAGCGAAGGTGTCAGGGCGGACGAGAATACAGGAACAGACATTTCTAGCGTCGCTGCGACGGATGGGAACCCTCTATGTAATGAATGCGCCAAAGATCCAGGGGTTTGCTGTTATTTGGCCTGTCAAGGCGATGGACATTGCCCACAGCAAGTCATCAATAACGGATGGGTAAGGGGTGGAAGAAAGATCACAAGCTGGAAACGCCGGTCTTTCCTAGATGCCTGGCTGTAGCAATTCAGTGCGAGAACAGGACGTCGATTCGTTGTTGGGTCCGTGGAGGTGCTCAGATTATGCTATTATTTTGAGTGACAATGTGTGTAACTCCAGAACACCAAGCTGTCTCTGCTCAAACTTTCCTCCTGCCTGCGAAATAATCATACATGGCGAGTGCGATGGGTATCAGTGTGCACTCTTTGCCTCGAGTTGGCGATCACCTCTTAGTCGCTGCCGTAAGCTGTTTTGATCTCCTTTGAGTACTTGGCTTCGATCTTCTTTCGTTGAACCTTCTGCGCTGGGGAAATGAGGCCCTGTAAAAGTCAGCATCATGCGTTTACCAAAGGCGACTAAACACCCACGTTTTGAGGAGTCCATTCTTCGTCTGCCATGACCAATCCATCGATGAGCTCAATTCCAGACAGTCCTGCTTGACGGCCGGCCTTCAGCATTTCGTTCAAGACAATGCGGTTGAGCTTCTTGTCATGGACCATCTCTTCCACACTTTCTCCCTTGATGCCATTAGAAGCGGCAATCTTTTGCAGAGCAGCCTCGACTGGCACGATGATAGCAATAGGCTTGGCTTTGTCTTGAGCCGCAAAGACGCAGATGTTTCCGACAACTGGCGCAGTCCGATAGGCCGACTCCAGCTTCTCAAGTGCAATGTATTCACCGTTCAATGTCTTGACCAGGTTCTTCTTGCGGTCAATGATTTTCAGATGACCATTGGCATTGAACTCTCCAATGTCGCCGGTCTTGAACCATCCATCCTCTGTGATGGCTTCCTTAGTTTCCTGCTCGTTGTCCCAATATCCTTCTGTCACGGAAGGTCCACGAATCCAGATCTCACCCTGAGGAGGTTTGTTGGTCGAGTAGTAACCAGCGTCGGGAAAGTCGACTAACTTGATCTCGATAGATCCTGGAATGTCACCTAGCGCATGAGGGTCCCAAGCCAATGGATCCTGAATGGCACCCATAGCGGAGGTCTCAGTCAATCCGTAGCCGGAAATCATTGGAGTGACTGCATAGCTGATGAATTTGATCGTTTCTTGAGAGATGGGGCCGCCACCGTTGAAAGCGATTCGAAGGCGTCCACCAGTTGCCTCCTTCAACTTCTTGAACACGATCGCATCTAGAACACCGGATCCGGGAAGACCAGCTCCGAGAAGCATTTGTTTGAGGTTGAATGCGCCCCAAAACATATTCTTCACGACAAAAGAGCTGCTATTGATCTTGGCCAAGATGCCTTTCTTGACACTCTCCCAGACCGCGGGAACACCGATGAGAATAGTCGGTCGGAATTCACGAATGTCACCTTTGCAGTTCCGGACGGAAGTGTCTGACAAAGTCTTGGGGTTACCATAGCCCATGGTGCCACCCCAGAACAGGCAAACATTCTCGAACATGTATTCGAAAATGTGAGATTGTGGTAGATAGGTGAGAAGTGCATCGGCAGGTCCGATGTAAGGAGCCACAATGGTTTGGACACCTGCCATCGCAGCCACAACTGCCTTGTGCTTGATGGTGACACCTTTCGGCGGGCCTGTGGAACCTGAAGTGTACATGATGCATGCCAAATCCTCTGGTGACGGAGGTACAGGGTCGAAGGGCTTCTCAGCACCCAACTTCCTCAGCTCGTCAAAACTGATGACTCTGACATCGGGATGGTCTGCCTTGAGCTTCTGCAGATCTGCCTCTTTGATCTCTGGTTCTGTATTGTAGATGATGGATTTGATGTTCACAGCATCCTTTATGACCTTGTTCAAGACCGGGATGAGATTGGGATCTAAGAATATGGCGACAGACTTTGTTTGGACAAGGGAGTGTCTCAGACCTTCCTCTCCTAGAGAATCGTAGGCTGTGACAATGGGAATAGACTGAGACGCAGCTGCGTGTGAGGTGGCAAGCCAGTGAGCACTGTACTAGTTAGTATGAGAACCAGAATGCAAATAGCTTCAGCGCACCTTGTAGCTCCGTAAAGATGCATCTTGTCGTCCTTGGAGACACCCAAGTTGCGCAGGCCAGATCCAATGTCATGCGCCAGTTTCTCATACTCGACGAAAGTCATGTAGGTGTAACCACTGAGTTCGTAGTATGTCCATTTCTTATCGAGCTCTTGCTCTTGTCCATCAACCATCTTCTTCACCTTCTTGTTCTCGACATGGGTCTTGATGATCTTTCTCGAACCAATAGCTTTGGCATTTCCAAACTTGGCCGCGGCTCTCTTGAGGTTGTCGTAGATTGTCTTAACATCGTCCGAGGGCAGTACGATCAGCTCGTCTTTTGCAAGTGGGTTTCGTCTGGGAATGGTCTCCCCTGGTTTCTTTTCGTAGCCCGAAGCTTCCACCGAATAAGGCGGCTTCTTGGTGAGCTGGGCCTGAACGTAACCATCGACTCTTGGCCGACGGTCGTTTTCTAGTGATGCCATCTCTGATCAGGGAGTGTGTGATTGTCTTTTTAACAGTCTGCGCAAGATGGCAGAGGATTGTGGAATGTAAGGTGTGGAGGTTTAAGAGAAGTTGTGGAGTCGCGGTGTAATCAGGTAAGAGTGAATGCTTCGTGAAGTGCGCAAATCAATATCTGAGCAGAAGTTGGTGCCTGCGTTGTAGTTGGACGCGAGACACCAGAAGGTTGGCGATTGTGAGAGTTAGAAACAATGTCAAACTCTTGTGCCTGGTCAAGATGTAAGGACTATTTAGGCTGCGACAGACAAGTATCGCACAAGAAGAAGAGACGGACGAGGGAGTAAGTTACGTCAACATCGCCGTCACCAGGGGCGAAGGCATACAAAGTAATCAGGTATTCACTTGGGACAGAAGATGCTGGGTGGCTTGTGTTGGGGTTGGGAGTGACCAACGGAGCTCTTAGGCTGGGGAAGAAACCCTGTGATAGGCGCACCGTAGGAACTTGCTGGGCCTCGGTTCGGCTTGATTGGCTTGGGCCGGAGCCTGTAAGCATCGCCAACAGTCCTCTCTTACCTGAGGTCTAGGTAATGTACTCTTTTGTCTCGGCGCCGGAGCAGGATGAATTGGCTCTCAATAATAATGCCCAGGCACCACAAGATGATGAATTTCACCTTGGCTTCCTTTAACCCTCGATTATGTCTCGTCCAGGTGTTATACGAGTTCGACTAGGCCTGTGTCTCATACCTGGCTTGATGGACTGACTGACGTGTTCTTTCGCCTCTCGGCATTCCACCCTACATCTGCTGAAGACGGCACTCGAAGTTCCTGCAAATACCTCATTGTCAGTACCCCCTCTTCCAATACTCACCGGCTATCGTTGGCTCAGTGCTGTCAGCTAGAGTGTGGCTATTCGTCTTTTCATGCATCATCCCCTGTCGCTTAAGTGCGGCCCTGAACTGACAAAGCAATGTGCAGGATTGTCACCAACTCCAGAAAACTGCACCATTGTATCATTCAGGCAGATCTTACCTCCACTGATCCTCCTGTTTTGACAGAATATCGCGGCTTGATCCTGGCCAACCGACATAAAAGCCCTGATCAGCGTCTGAGACCATGCGAGCGCAATGGCTTCGTCCAAACTTCATGATATTCTGGGTCCTCCAATGGAGGATGCATCAGAAGGTAGTAGCATTTTGCCCTTCTGGCTGACTGGCAGGGTTTCGTGCTGTCTGACCTTTCGTTTCAGAGACTTTTGAATTGTTCAGTCAAGAAATCCCAAGTAACAATCTGGGGTTCATCGATTCCAGACAGGACACTATTCAGGTCGAAGTCGCTGGCCATGAGTATGAACTACAACAATCCCCAGGACTCTTGAATTCCAACCGGAAAGAAGGTACTACAGGAGCAGTCTTGTGGAAAGTCACGCCTCTGTTAGCTGCGTGGCTGGCCTCTTTTCCATCAGTATTGGCTGATCTCAATGTACTACATGCTAATGCTACTGTGGTTGAATTGGGTTGCGGGCTGGCTGGCCTCGTAGGCCTGGTCCTCTCTCGTCTCGTCAAGTGTTATGTGCTCACTGACCAGGAGTATGTGATGAAGTATCTGAAGGAGAACATATCAGCCAATTCAAGTACGAATGAGCCTCGATCGAGATCTACAAAGAAACGCAGCAGCTCAAGGGTACCCATTCTGACTTCATCTCTCAAAACCATGGCACTCGACTGGGAGACTGATCGGGCTGAAAATCTCCTCTCGGTCATCTCGTCTGAGGACTCCATTGATCTGGTGATTCTCTGCGATTGTGTCTACAACGACTTTCTTGTCAAACCCTTGGTCCAGATGGTAACGGACATCTGTTATCTGGGAGCATCCACGCCAAAGTCGACAGTCGTATTGATAGCTCAACAGCTTCGATCAGATTCGATCTTCGAGCTCTTTCTGGACAGCCTGATGCAAGAGTTCTATGTATGGAGAATGCCTGATGAGAAAATCTCCCCCAACCTCCGCTCAACCTCGGGATACGTTGTTCATCTCGCGATGCTGAAGTTAGCAGCCACGATGTAGAAGATAGAATGGAATGATATAGAAGAGAAAGGCCTCGTCGCCTTGCCATTGTGTTAGAATTGTTGCGCTGCTGTTGGCTCGCTTGTCAAGGTCTTGGCAGCTGCGGCGGCAGCCATGAACCTGAATCCGTGTAAATATGTTTTCCCGCGTATATCTTGCCCCAGCCAACCCGCCCTTGAGGACCCTTCACGGCCTCTGTTGTTATTTGATCGTCTTCTGTTTCTTTTGGAGGTGTCGACGTATCAGCCCTTGCCAGGGCAAAATTCTGGCGCCATGGATTTGAGCAAGACCATCGCGTCCACGTTGTCAGCCGATCAGAACATTCGCCAACAAGCTGAATTGGCCCTCAAGCAGGCGGAGCAGCATGCTGGTTTTATCGGCGCTCTCCTTGACAACTTGCAGTCCGAACAAGATCCTGGCGTGCGCCTCTCGACTGCCATCTACCTGAAGAATCGAGTATCGCGGGGTTGGAGCACTGAGAACACACCGCATCAGCCCATATCCGAACCTGAACGAAAACCATTCAAAGATCGACTTCTGCCGGTCCTTTCCACGTCCCCTCCGCCCGTACGAGCACAGCTCATTCCTATCCTACAAACCGTCCTGCAGTATGATTTTCCAGCCAAATGGCCAGATTTGATGGACATAACCCTTCAACTGTTAAACACTCAGGATGTAAACTCGGTATATGCGGGTCTCCAATGTTTACTGGCTATATGCCGAACGTATCGTTTCCGGGCCGGCGAAGAGAGGGCGAACTTGGACAAAGTGGTCGAGATCGGCTTCCCGACTCTGTTGGGCATTGCAAACAGACTCGTGAACGAATCGAGTCCTGAAGCTGGCGAGATGTTGAGGATATGTGTCAAATGCTTCAAACATGCTGTCTATTATGGTCTCCCAGTACCACTACAGTCACACCAGGCAACCGTGGATTGGTGCACCCTGTTCTTGACTATCATTTCCAAGGGGCCTCCGGAGTCTGCGATGACCGAGGATGTGGAAGATCGAGAACGAAACCATTGGTGGAAGGCACGAAAATGGTCATATGCGAACCTCAACCGGCTGTTCGTCAGATACGGGAATCCGTCTGGTCTTATGTCCACCCAAGAGAAGGAATATGGCGACTATGCCAAAAATTTCATTACCCACTTTGCGCCCGAAATGCTCAAAGTCTATCTGGGCGAGATAGAGAAATGGGTTGGTGGAAACCACTGGCTGAGCAAACCATCATTGTCATATACATTGATCTTCTTGGAGGAGTGTGTAAAGCCTAAAGCAATGTGGGACAAGCTCAAGCCACACATGGACAGCTTGATCAAACATTTGATCTTTCCCGTTCTATGCCAGTCAGATGAAGACATGGAACTTTTTACAGACAATCCTCCCGACTATCTCCACCGAAAGCTCAACTTCTACGAAGAAGTCTCGGCCCCAGATATGGCTGCTACCAATTTTCTGATTGCGTTGACCAAGTCTCGAAAGCAGCAGACCTATGTAATCCTCCAATATGTCAATGAGGTGGTCACCCGTTACGAAGCTGCTCCAGACGACCAGAAGAATCCACGGGAAAAAGAAGGCGCTCTTCGAATGATCGGTTCCCTTGCCTCGGTGATACTGGGCAAGAAGAGTCCCATTGCAGACCAGGTTGAATATTTCTTCGTACGACATGTCTTCCCCGAGTTCTCGTCTCCACATGGCTTCCTCCGTGCCAGAGCCTGTGAGACCATGGAACGATTCGAGCAACTCGATTTCAAGGATCAGAACAATCTTATGGTGATATATCGCCACGTCCTTCATTCGATGGCTGATCCCGAATTGCCCGTCCGGGTCATGGCTGCGCTTGCTCTGCAGCCGCTTATTAGGCACGATCCAATCCGGATTGCAATGCAAGACAACATTCCACAGATCATGCACCAACTCTTGAAGTTGATGAACGAAGTCGACGTTGATGCACTCTCTAACGTGATGGAAGATTTTGTTGAAGTCTTCGCCGAACAACTCACCCCATTTGCGGTTGCGTTGAGCGAGAATCTGAGAGACACATACCTGCGGATCGTCAAAGAAATCCTCGAACGCAATGAAGCCAAGGCAGCTGAGAGTGGAGATGACCCTGGTTACGGCGATTACCTCGACGACAAGGCCATCGCAGCCCTTGGTGTCCTACAGACCATTGGCACCCTCATCCTCACATTGGAAGCCACGCCTGATGTTCTCCTCGTCCTAGAAACCATCCTCATGCCCGTCATTACTATCACTCTGGAGAACAAGCTCTACGACCTTTACAACGAAGTGTTTGAAATCATCGATTCCTGCACCTTCGCTTCCAAATCAATCTCAGACACCATGTGGCAAGCTTTTGAGCTCATGCACAAGACCTTCAAGGACGGCGCGGAATTGTACCTGGAAGACATGCTTCCCGCTTTGGACAACTTTGTTTCATACGGCCAGCAGCGACTTATCAACCACCCTCCTTACCTGGCCGCCATAGCGGGCATGGTCAGGGACATCTTTTCTGATCCCAAAGTTGGAGGAGTCGACAGGATCTGTGGCTGCAAGCTCGCGGAAGCAATGATGTTGAATCTTCGAGGCGGCCCTATCGACAGCTTCATCCCTGTATTTGTGAGCCTGCCGATGGAAGTCTTGACAGGACCGCAGCAAAAAACCATTGTGAAGAGCTATAAGATACATCTGATTGAAATGGTTATCAACGCTCTCTACTACAATCCGATTCTGGCGTTGCAAGTCCTCGAAGCACAGGGCTGGACTAACAAATTCTTCTCAATCTGGTTTGGAAGCATCGATTCCTTCCGGAGAGTGCACGACAAGAAACTTTGCATTGCTGCGATTTCTGCGCTCCTCACGATCCGCGCGGACCAGGTGCCTCAATCTGTTCAAACAGGCTGGCCTCGGTTGCTCACCGGTGCCACGTATCTCTTCCGCACCTTGCCTGCCGCGCTCAAGCAGCGTGAAGAAGCCGTTAAAGCATCCGACGGCGTGTCCGACACCTTGTCCGAGTACGCTTCCGATGACGACGGCGAAGACTGGGCGGATGAGCCGGTCGGGGAACAAGGACAAGAATGGAGCAACATCAACACTGAAACGCTTCCTGATACCAAGGGTGACATCAAAGACGAGTCACAAGCGTACCTTGATTTCCTGAGCGAGGAAGCTAAAAAGTTTGGCGCGCTTGCCGACGACGACGAGGATAGCATTCTTGACGAAGACAGTCTCCTTGAGACTCCGCTGGACAAGTTCGACCCGTACGGCACTTTCAGAGAGTCTCTTGGCAAGTTGCAGACCGAGCAGCCACAACTCTACCAGAGCCTGACTTCGATCTTGGAGCCTGGAGATCGAGAGGTCCTTCAAGGTGTGGTCGCACATGCTGCACAAGCTCAAGCACAAGCACAAGCACAAGCTCAGGCACAAGTCCAAGGGCAAGCGCCTGCTTAAGTGCCGAAGAAATTCTGTTTCGAGTTCGCGGAGAAATCATCTTCCCTGGGTAGTATTCTCTTTCAAAGGCAATGCGGATAATCGTGTCTTGCCTTGCAAGGACTTGCTTCTTCCGGTGTGACCACCACAACGGGGTCAGCATCTTTGGAGAAATATCATCACATACACACACCCAGCATCGATTTACTTTTGAGGATGAGGACAGAAGGTCGGTCAGTCGAATTGAGGCTAAGAGGCCGAGTCGAGTCGAATCGATGATGATGCGACATGAAGCACCCCCCTTTTTTTGGATGCCGATATCAATATTGACATCGGTGTTGAAGATATTGAACATGACAACTGCACCCTCTCTCTTTTTCTTGACTCGGCGCTAGTGTGGACAAGGTGATGGTGATGATGATGATGATGATGCCCAAGGAAGGCATCTGTTTGATAGGGCGACTGGTGGACTGGTGATTTGTGAGAGGGAGATGACGATTACAAAGAGAGCTAGCTAGCCTCATCTGATCGGAGTGAAACTGATGAGCGTTGTATGGACGTGGAACAGACGGTCCTGTCTTGTTCTGTTGATCGACCCTGACGGACGGGCACATGATAACTCTCTGTACAGAACAATAAGAAAGAGTAACCAAACCAAAAAAAAGAAAACAAGGCATGGGCGGTTTGTGACTGCTGCACAGTAGTAGTTGCTGTTGATGATCGTGTCGGTGTTGCCATGATCAATCTCTATCTCTCTCCCTCTCTGTCTCTCTCTGTCTCTCTCTGTCTCTCTCTGTCTCTCTCTGTCTCTCTCT